TGTCACCCCTGTCAATATGCTACCACACAAAGTATATTGATTTCTACTTTTAATGTGGGCTGCATGTAAGGAAGGCTGTCTGCCTTCACAGCCTGTACTTAAATGTATGCAGTTAATATGCTAATGGTTCTATGCTAAAGACTCTGGAACCGAATGCACATCGCGCAAACCGTTAAGGTCGTTTGCGATAAGGTTAGGATAAGTTAAGGTAAGGATAAGGTTAAGGTCGCGATATTGCATGATGCAATATTCATGACGCAACAACGACGCGACGACGCAACGCGTGACGCGGTCCGTCGTAGCCTGACCTTCACTGGCCCACTGTGTTGGAACAAAAGGTTAGAAGGAGGCCTGCCGCGACTGGGGAGCTCACAAGCAAGCACCTGGAACGTAACATTTGGTTTAAGATTGAGGCATGCGCCGTTGTAGACAAAGTGTTATAAGTTATGCCCCTATTAAGGAGACTGTACTGCTCATATCGCCAACTATGGAAATACCGCTCAAACATGTTCTCGTCTGTGTGGAGTTTTCGGCCTCTGGTTCTCGCCTGTGTGAAGCTCTGAGGTTCTTGTTCTCGTCTGTGTGAAGCTCTGAGACCCTGGTTCTCGTCACTGCACGTCTGACATGACAGGGTATTTGGGATAGTCGATCTCACCCAGTCATGTGTATGAAGCTGCTGTGGTTCAAACAAACAATCTGGCTTACCTTCCATTTGTTGTCTTCCGTCTCAGAGTATAGGCGGTGGCGGCTTCTTAACCAGTCGCCTCATTCGCGATCACTCGTGCTCGCTTTCGTGTCTCAGCGAATTGAATTAAGCATGCGCAGAACCAACTCATCTACAAATGTGGACCGCACTGAAACCGTATTCTGTTTGGGCAAATACAATTTTTAACATTTGAAGATGCAGAAAAGCAAACTTTGCGCTGCAAAGGTGGTTTTTACATACAGTTGTGACATTAATCGCAAATGCACAGCTGGAGTTTGCATATTTTGGGCTTCATTCCGAGCTGGATACGGGTCACAGTTCAGATCGGCAAGCATCGCTGAGCAGACATGGCTACTCCGTCCAAACTGAGGAGAACGGCGTGTGCTGACATGAGTACCGCGTCTCCACTGAGGAGAACGACGTATGCTGACATGGGTAGCCCGTCCCTACTAAGGAGAACGACGTGTGCTGCCATGGGTACCCCATCCCCGCCGAGGAGAACAACGTGTGCTGACATGGGTAGCCCGTCCCTACTGAGGAGAAGGACGTGTGCTGACATGGGTACCCCGTCCCCACTGAGGAGAACGACGTGTGCTGACATGCGTACCCCGTCTTCATTGACGAGAATGACGTGTGCTGGCGCGGGTAGCCCGTCCCCACTGAGGAGAATGACGTGTGCTGACGCGGGTAGCCCGTCCCCACTGAGGAGAATGACGTGTGCTGATGCGGGTAGCCCGTCCCCACTGAGGAGAACGACGCGTGCTGACATGGGTAGCCGTCCTCGGTGGGGAGAACGATGTGTGCGACGTAGGTCATCGCTTGTAAACATTGGCGAATACTTGTCCCTGCGGGAAAGAAGTATTTTAGCGAGTGGAGCCAAAGGTGAGCTCGATGATTCATTATCACGAATTAATATGTCGAGTTTCGTGACCATGCTGCGACCTTTATTAATAATCAGGTGCTGGTTTTCGTGATAGTGGTTATAAACCTTGTGCTATCCACAGGATTCGCGTCGGGAAAGAAGACTGTGACCCGGTGAACACCTTTACTGGAGAGCTCTATGGACTCACCAACGAAGAGATCATTTGTAAAACTTCCTCTTCATACGCAGGCAAGCGTTTAAGTGTAATTTCATACACAGCATGCTTTAAAATACTTGTAAGATTCAGAAAAGCATTCCACTGCATTGCAGACGCATTGCAATTAATCCCTTAGCGGAATGGCATCACGCGTTCGGCTCATTGTGTGAAGCGTAGTATGAATCGAGTTTGAACTACACATAAACGGAAACGGCAAGCGCACTATGCATTGAGTTACTGGTTGCACAGTGATCTATTATTCACTGACAGGAATATTGCATCCCTGCCTCAATGAATGACATCCGTGTCGATATCTGCGCATGTTGACATGCTGAAAGGGATATCAGCGCGTTATTCAGGCCTGCAACTCATAGGTCCGTGCTGTTCACTCCCGTACAACACAGATCGGATGAGATCAGTACAGATGTATGTACGCGTACCGATACGATCAGATAGAGCAAAAGCTCGTTGTCCTTCCGACCATTCATCTCACCCTTCTCTGACCTTATTGATCTTCTGGCTCGTTGTCGCATGCCGTTTTCACTTGAATTCAAATTCCAAGACGTTAGAATGGATGTGTAATAACACATGTCTAATCGAGCGTCTCATCACCGGAATTTGCCATCTGCCATAGCATCCTCTGAGGATTTCATTCACATGTTCCTCGAATCAACCTCTAGTAAATTGAGAGGATGGACGGCTGTCGTAGGCTGGTCCAGCCCTTGTGGCTGTAGAATCCGGAACATCCAACCTACGACACCTTTCTGCGTGAATTAATCAGCTGATGTGGTAATGTGGAACGCGCGCAAACACGAACAGCGGTTTGAATGTGGAATCTTGACGTACCGGTTTTTCGCTTTTATTGTACATTTGATGACATTAGTAGATCTTGCATGGCGGCTAGACGTAGCACTCGATAACCATAGCGTTCTGTCTAAGTTTTGACTTCATGGATTTGGACAGATGAACTCATTTGCTCCACCTCCCCAGCATAATTGCCCCGGCCTCTAAGTCAGTGCACTGGTTATTGGAGAATGTATATCACGCACGGAATGCCAAGTCATGACACTACCACCCGTGGTATTGTTTGGGATTGCGAGAGCCACTATTGCAATTCCATTGAAACGCCGATTGTATTTTTCCTAAGAGGAGCCTTACTTCGATTTACCCGAAAATTCGACTTCTTTGGAATGAGCGGCGTTGAGAGCAAAAAGTCTGATATTTTGGGCGTTTTTTGAAAGGTCATTGGGACTGTGTTCAGTAGCCAATATTGCCACCATGGGACGTGGTTCATGGGACGGACGTGGTTCCGATTGAGCCCAGACGTCCACCTCCCGCCCCGGACGTCCGTTTCCTGTTCCGGACGTCCGTCTCCTGCTCTGTGCACCCGTCTACTGCTCCGGATGTCCGCCGCCTGCTCCGGACGTCCGTCTCCTGCTCCGTGCGTCCGCCGCCTGCTCCGGACGTCCGTCTCCTGCTCCGTGCGTCCGTCTCCTGCTCTGTGCGCCCGTCTACTGCTCCGGACGTCCGTCTCCTGCTCTGTGCGCCCGTCTCCTGCTCCGGACGTCCGTCTCCTGCTCTGTGCGCCTGTCTCCTGCTCCGGACGTTCTGCTGACGTCGGGTGCCGCTGCAGGTCCGCTGTCAGCCCAGGTGCTGGTGGCCGGGCGCGGCCTCTCACAGGTGAAAGACCAGCGGCGTCAGGTGTCCGCCCAGGACACCGTCTACGACTTCCTCGCCGTGCCAGGTGAGGCAGCGCCCAGTCGCAGCGCCTCGCACCACTGCGTACTTGTTACCCGGCTTGCCATCGCGCAGTACTTTATCAAACAGCATTGTACCAGCAACTATAATCCTTTGTAATGACGAATTTCCACAACTGATTTTTCGAGACTAACTGGGGGAGTTTGCCCACGGGTTCGGGGCACAGTTCGATTCGTCTCTGTCCGTGAATCGGCATGAGCTTAATGATATGTAGTATGGGATCCAGGGATACCCTCCATACCTTAATCATCTAAATGTGCACGTTCATTTGGCGGTATATTGATACATCGTGGCATGTTTCGCGCACTTCGCCTCCGTCAGAAAGCCTCTGCAGACGCATTCCTTCAGTGCGGCGTTGCGATGGTCTGGTGGTCCGGTGCGTGGCGGGTTGTGCTGTGAACCGTGGTGAGAGCTCTGCTGAGGCGCGGGTTCTCCCCGTCATGTCGAGCACGGGTGATGCGTACCTTCGGAGGCAGGTCCGGGAGTGTGTGGGACAGAGTCAGGGGCACACCAGCGCTCCTCTGCGAGGAACCCCGAACTCACCGGAGGAAAGGCGCAGCTGTGAGTCGTATCACCAGTGGTGATAAGACTCTCAACTGCATCAACAAACTGAGACCAAAAAGTCCCTGTCACTGCAACATCACACACAATTTCATCGGGTTCACCTATGAGGGAGGAGTTCCAGTGCGTTAGATACGCGTCTTGGCGCTGCTGGACGCCTGGCCCTCGCCGGTCGTTCAAGCTGACCGTGTCGCCCCGACACCGAGGGACACCTGACCCCCGCCCGTCGCTCAAGCTGACCGTGTCGCCCCGACACAGAGGGACACCTGACCCCCGCCCGTCGCTCAAGCTGACCGTGTCGCCCCGACACAGAGGGACACCTGACCCTCGCCGGTCGTTCAAGCTGACCGTGTCGCCCCGACACAGAGGGACACCTGGCCCTCGCCGGTCGCTCAAGCTGACCGTGTCGCCCCGACACCGAGGGACACCTGACCCCCGCCGGTCGTTCAAGCTGACCGTGTCGCCCCGACACAGAGGGACACCTGACCCCCGCCCGTCGCTCAAGCTGACCGTGTCGCCCCGACACAGAGGGACACCTGGCCCTCGCCGGTCGCTCAAGCTGACCGTGTCGTCCCGACACAGAGGGACACCTGGCCCTCGCCGGTCGCTCAAGCTGACCGTGTCGCCCCGACACCGAGGGACACCTGACCCCCGCCGGTCGTTCAAGCTGACCGTGTCGCCCCGACACAGAGGGACACCTGACCCTCGCCGGTCGCTCAAGCTGACCGTGTCGCCCCGACACAGAGGGACACCTGGCCCTCGCCGGTCGCTCAAGCTGACCGTGTCGCCCCGACACAGAGGGACACCTGACCCTCGCCGGTCGTTCAAGCTGACCGTGTCGCCCCGACACAGAGGGACACCTGGCCCTCGCCGGTCGCTCAAGCTGACCGTGTCGCCCCGACACAGAGGGACACCTGACCCCCGCCCGTTGCTCAAGCTAACCGCTTCGCCCCTCCGCAGAACTGAGCAGCGTGTCGCCGACGACCCTCGCCGCCCTGGGAGGCGCCGTTGTCACTGTGCAGGGCGTCGGCTTCGACGAGCAGCCGGGCAAGACCCGTGTCCACATCGGAGGTACGCCATCTACCGGCCTTTCACGCCTCCAGTTCAATAAGCAGCACACGTCTGACGCAATAGCTGGGCACCAAACGCGAGCTAACCATGGCTGGAACACGTGCGCCGGTGTGTTGTGTATTTAATCAAACGTTCTGAGGTGGTTGACAAAGCACGGTTCGACGCCTGGGCACAAGCCTGAATTCAATCCTCGATCAGCCTGCCGAATGTAGGGCTTGTTGCTTCGTCAGCATATGCCTGTTGCTTCGCCAGCAGAGTAATGTTTCGAACGTTACTGGCAAAATGGGAATATTTTGACCGTGTACGTGAATACGTCAAGGTACGAATATTCATGTCAGGATGCTGATACATTGAATGTTCATGCCAAGGGTTAAATGCTCGCATGAAGCGTTAACGTTAAATGTTCCTACGTTGATCGCTTGGCGGTCATTTGTATTACCGGTCGCTGTTTTACGTGACGACGGAGGTCACTAAAGGCAGCGGACTTCCCAGTTGGGATTCAAGCCACGCTCGGATTCTCGGAAAGTGTTCCGGATCAATATTAGCGTGTTCACCTCCAGCAGCATGTTGTCGCCAATGCATTACAGATGGTATCAGTCATTGCACGACATCAAAGCAGCACGCTGCTTTGTCAGTTTCAGAGAGGCATCGCTGGACGCGGCATTGCCGCGTTATTGCGCAGTGGTGTCGTTTCCGTTATGAATTGTACGTCTCGAATATGTTTCACAGGGCGATGTGGTTTCTTAACGCATAAAATGGTCATAGATCCCCTCGTATTTTCGGATACGCAAACGAGGCCTGCAAGTAATGTCTGTAGCGTTTGTTCATTACTCTAATGCTGGATGAATGGGATTTGAAATCTTTGGGAACAAAACTGGCACCTCAGCGTGAGACTGCTGCTGACTGGTAACTTGTGGGAACTTAGCTCACTTTCCAGCACTGGGGCACTGCCCTGCTTCTGAGGGAATGGCATACTTGCTAGAAATGAACGTTACGTGTCATGTACTGAAGGCAATCGACGTCAAGCATGCCAGAACCTTTGATTAAACGACGTTATCAAGCAAACGTTGGTTATATGGGATGTGATGTCACGGCAGAATGTCATGACACTATAGATTCACTTCAAGATAAGACTAACAAGTATGAACCTCGCAACGATGAGCACATCTTGACACGTCGAGCCTAGCACTGTTTTCTTGATTGCGTTCTCTATCCAGCACCTCCTGGAGTACCAAAAGGTCTATTATTGTTAGCATAAAAATCCGTCACGTGCATTAGGGTGAATGGAAGCATCTGAATTTGAAAACTTCTGACATTTGCCACAAACTCATCTGGTGTCACAACCGCTTGAGACCACTTTGAGAACAAAGTGGTCATGAAGCGGTCCCTGTGGTCTAGTGGACTTGAACTTGACTTAAATACTTGGTACGTTGGCTACGAGTCCCAGCGCGAGCGCTTTGTTTGGATATTGACGCATTGTTTGGCCAGACTGAAATGGCAGGGTCAGCTGGCAACTGACCAACGAGGGTCAGTCCAGGCCCGGAAGGTCATGCCGCTGCGTTGTGCGGCAAGTAAAGCCTTCCGCATGCCTTTTGCCGACTGGAAAGGGCGGAGGCAACATTATCCGTTGAACTGGACGGCGCGATTTGGGTGTCAGTTTCAGGGCACACGTAACAAGCTAGCTAGAGCTTTACAACCAAAGCCACCCATGCAAACCATTCGGGATAAATTTATTAAAAAGCATGATACAAGTACAGTATTTTTATACTATGTTTTGATTATTTTAACGACCATCTCTGCTGTCCCAATCGACGAAAGAATCTGGTGACCTCGTGTTCGAGTCCCATGAAACCCATGTGTGGGAATAGATGTTACTGGCACTGCAGTAAATTACCTCAACATACAGCTGGCAATGTAGAACATCGAATTGCGGACTAAAATAATCGGATAAAGGCGCACAAATGTTTGCATACCAAACCTAAACCAACTGCTCAGCATTAGCGCCTCGTCCCCGCTCTTGGGCATGTTTGTGCGCCCACATCTCTGTTACGTTGCAAATCACATGCTTAGGAAATGTTGCATTTGTATCCACAGGAGGTCATAACTTTTCAAATTATGACAGACGCTTCGGCATCACGTTTTTAAGACCGAGCAGCATCATTAATGAGCACGCGTCATAACTACGTTCGCTGGAAACGGCTCTGGCAGCAGTGACCCCATCACCACTCAGTACGCATTCTGTCGCCGGTCGCCAGACTGTGTATGTTTTGGTGTTCGCCGTTCCAGGGGCTGAATGCGGTGTGATATCGGCTACTTCGACCCGGGTAACGTGCGCGGCGCCCGCCGAGCAAGCTACGACGCCACAGCTGCGAGGTAAGGCGCAAAACAGCCCTGGTCTGTCATGCAGCACGGCGGAAGGCGTCCAGACGTGGTAACGAGCTTCGCATGGAACCTGGGTGGCAAAGACACTTTCAGGAGTTCATGGAAGCCGTTTCCTCTTAAAGAGCGAAAAGCGTTTTCCTGGACTCGCCACTGCTGTTCGGTTCGGTACATCAGTGTGGGGCGCCTGATCGCCGCACCACGTCGAAGCCGACGCCTGAGTCATCGCCGTCTGCCCACCACGCGGTCGATATCCGTCTGGAGTCAAAATATAGGCTGCATTGTTTAGTGTTTGGGTCTTTCCACCAAGGGCGGATGACTGCGCTCTTGGAAAAGCTTTGTTATGGCGGAGCAGTTTACTGCATTCAACACGGAACTGCCCGTGCCGGGTACTCCATCATGTCGCTGACTCATACGCGACTCACGGCAGCGTCTGCTCCGTTGACACGGCATGTGTGCAGCATGTCGCAGCCACAATCGGCCAAGACGCTGCATTTAAACTGTCACCAATCATGCAGCGTTAAAGCTTGCAGCCAGCGAGTACACGATCACCGTCGAAGTCGGGTCGAGCCTCCCACACCGCTGATCCGACCCCGTCCGTCGCAGGCGGCGCCGGCGTGCTTTACGAGGTCTGGCTGGACGCCGAGGTCGACGACCTCGGTGACCTCTCGTCGCTGACTCCGGACACGGCCGGGTATGGCGCAGAGCGTCTGCGGGACGCTGCCGTCACCAACAATACGTTCGGCCAGGACGCGGCGTTTGTCGGTCGCATGAGCGGCTGGCTGCGCTCGCCGCGGCTCGGCCAGTTCGTGTTGACCCTGCAGTCGGACGGGCCGGGCCGGCTCGCACTCGGCCCCTCCCCGGACAGCCTGCAGCAGGTGGGCTCGCCCCGTCGGCCCGGCGGACTGCGGCGGCGGTCAGGCACACGATGCTCGGCCGAAGGCTGCTCCCATCGTCGGCCGCTGCTTGATTACATGTGTGCTGTATGGTGTTGTAGGCGGGAGACCTGAGTCATCACTTCGTCAGTGAGCATTTGAGCTTTAATTCCGACCAGCTTTATCCGTGTATCAAATCGGTAAGCGTTGAAGTATGACCTAATGCGACCCTCTTGAAATCAATTAATCGAAAACTTGCATGTATATATATATATATATATATATATATATATATATGTATATCGTAAACAAAGCACTCACACCCAACAATCAATATTTGAGGCCTCAGGTATCGTGCAGGGCCTCCAACATAATCGTCAATGCGAGGAGTGGTGGTACAAACTTCAGAAAGTTGAAGGAGGAGGTTACGTACCAGTTTCACCTGTATTTTCTCTATGAAACGGTATGCGGCTGATGCCAAATTTTGTCTTGCGTTGGGGCGCGAAGCTCATCCCCCCCCCCCCCTCCTGACCTATCGTCAGCGTTCCATAGTGGCCACAGTATGAACTTCACCTTTGCTGATCGTGGTAGGAGTGTCGCAGTTTGTCATCGATCTGTTTTTGCAAAGACCGAGAACCTCGACGGTAGGCTGTTTGTGTGGCCTAGTGCCGTTGTTTTTACTGTGCAGCGGCTGTCGTAAAGGACATGTAATGGTGGTCGCCTTTGTTAGCAGCTGTTTGAAGGTCGGAGGTGCGTCGTGTACGATCACGCGTGATCGTCGTGTACGATCACGCGTCGTCATACATTAACGCTTACTTACCTATTGCTAAGCGCATTGAAGCGACACTGGTTCTGGTAGTGTAATGGTTAAGCCGCGCATCTGGGAAGACCAGAAGCCTGAGTCGATTCCCCGCGGTGCTCACCCTTCCTGCCAGTGTGAGAGGCAGGCGCCACCATATAGCCTCAGCAGCTGCATGTCTTGTAAAGCCCCATTTACGGTGAAGGGGCGTCGAAGGAAATTCGAATGTCCATCATCACCAGGCTAATTCGCCAAGGGCCTCTATGATTTCAAAGTTGTGCATAAAAGCAGACACTTCTTTCTCTTTTACCGAGTGTTGTGAAACAGCTACCAAATGAAATTGTTGCAGCAGCCACAACTGTACTGACCGTGATTTCACGCAGCATGGCGTGACTATTGCAACATGGTCCCTTTAACATAAGTATTAAAGCGTCAATGGGTAGCGAACGCAGGTAACTGTTGACGTTATTGGTGTCGCAATGATATGCCGGGTGCTGTGGCACCTACGCATGGCTGACACAGACCTCGAACTCATATTCACGAGGCTACAAGTCAAGCGTTCTCTCGCGGAACAATGCAGTCGTGAAAATGCGTGTTGAGAAAGCTGCACGTGCTTAGCCAACCAAGTTATATGCACATGTTTTTTTAAGAAATTCGATCAAATTTCTTCGAGATCAGAGCAAAGGTCGGTACCTGTCAGCATGACAACAACGAACTCATAATGGCGTAAACCAGGAACTCAAGGCCTTTCTTGATTTTATTATCCGCCTACATGCATAAAAATACAGATACATGCATAGATACATACAATAAACTCGCATGCATCCATGCATGCATGCACGCATACCAACACACATGCATGCATGTATGCATGCACACATACCAACACACATGCATACATGTATACATACAAACATACATATGCATACGTGAATACATGTGTGCATACATATATACATGCATGCATGCATGGATTTATGCATACATGCGTGCGTACATGCATGAATGTACAAATAAATACATATATACATTAAAACGCAGTCAAACGACGGGTCAAACTGCCGAGAGAAGTGTGACGCCACCTTACTTCGTGGGTGACGTCATTTTGACCGTCATCCTATGTCAGGCAAATCAGTGGTGCCTCACCTGCCACACAGCGACAAAAAAATAAGACGTCAATTAAGTAAATGTCATAAAAACAGCAAAGGATTAAATCGCCGCTATCCTCAGTAACAAGCAATGTAAGAAACGAACAAACATAAAAAGAACACGCCCTTTTACGTGCTAGATAGAGCAGCAAAACCAAAATACAACAGGGCGTAGTCATAGCTGAAGACAGCCTTTGAGCGCCATTAACCCATATCCAGAGGACATTGCACACCTGGCGTTAGTAGTGTTTTGCATGCCTGCAGGGCTGAACAGGCTCTGCTCAACGCGAGGCGCACGTCACGGCGTCCCCTATAAGACCAGTAGCCGAGCACAAGCTTGTTGCTGGTAGAGCTAGGGGAACAATGCCAGGTAGTGAGTGCTAACAACGCTATGTGCATATACATGCAAATGTGTGCATAATATGAAGGTGTTTATGCATACGCGCAGAGCTTTTTTGTCTTTGTCACGCCGCCATGGCACTAAATCTGGTTGTTTATTTTTTCAAAGTTGCTGTCTCAAGCACTTTTTGTATGTAACAAGTGATAATGTTCTTCCCCATGTGCTCTGATGACATGACACCCCCTCCCCTTGGCCACTCTCAAGGATCGAACACTTAACACAACTTTAACTCGAATATTGTAGTCAAATTAGTACCTTACTTCAATGTTTACAACTTGCCTGGGTCTAGTCCGCATAATTGTAGTTGACACTGGCCGAAGCCCGCCAGAAGTACTGGCCTCGGCCAGCTCGCATTCCCCGCGCTGTCTGACATTGACACGGGCCCCTTGCCGAGCTGACCCCCGTCCCGCACTAACGACCTGGCCGCGGACGCCCCGGCATGGGCGTCAATAGATGCGCACCCCTCGCCGATGGACACGAAATCACCTGCCTCTCACACTGCATTGTTTATGCCGGACGCTTTCCACGTCGATATAGGCCAGGCAACGCTACACCTGATAGGACTTCGGCGTTGGCGTGTCGTGCGGTGGACAATTACCGCTGATGAGCAGCACAATTATCTTTAAGTGCCGGTTTATTGGAAGACAGAGTTCTTCGGAGTATCTTCTAGTATTGGCAGGACTCACGGTGTACCTAATGCATGGCGTGAGCTGGGTACTATCAAAACACTTTAAAATGTAGTTTTCAGAGTGCATCGTTCACAACCACTCTTCATCGGGTGTTTCGTATGTCAAAGTTGTCTGTTACAACATCAACAGCGCACGACAGTTGTGCAATTTGTGGCAGGCAGACACATAGTTATTGCGCCACGATTTACCTTTCGTAACGAAACGTGGCTGTCTGTTCTCCCAATTAAAGGAGTGGCATAGGCTCTGAAGTGGAGGTTTAAGCCATCCCAGCATTATATTTATACGGTGCTATTTCGCAACTTAAAGTTAATTCTTGACATCCAATCATTTTAAAAACCATTCTGCTAAATCGAAAGTTTTGTATAACTTTAGGAATAGATTCAATGAATTTTAAGAGCTCAATAAACGTTGCCACAACAGTAGGGATGGCCACTGTCTAGTCATGGTCAAACGTATGAAATTCGCGCAAAAGAGCAAGACAGGCGGAGTAATTCTCGTCCACCAGCAGCTGACCGGGGTTCTCGAGCACCCCTTCTGTTTTTCCGGAGATGTCAGTACACAAAAGAACCCACAAAATTTGCTGTACCATTGGTCATCCTTGGTTCATGTTGTGTACATTCTGAACCCATATCACACTAGGTAACCAACCAGAAGAGGGTTGAGGCAGGTCAGGTTCGAATTTAAGCAGTAGCATGGAGCCATGGTTCCTGTTCTCAATGCGCTGACCAAATTCCCTAGCGTTCCACAAAAGGGTGCACAAAGAGTATCGTATTCCTGTTATTCTAAAAAGTCAGAGGTCAGAGCGAGTAATGTTCCAAAAATATTTAAGGTTTCACATTTCATGTGCTTGCAATCGTTCAATACCGAGCTACTACAAATGTATGCTTCCATAGTTGGCAATTATTCCGTCTCAAAATGATGGTGTAATACGGAGGAACTTTCCCAGAATGCGCTCATCTATAACGTAAGTTGCAAAACATTGTGCGATGTTTTTGGGATGTGATGACCTTGAAAATCATGAAAAAGCAGAATAAGTGTCATTTGGATTAGCTGCTTCTGTTACAATGTCTAATGTCTGACTTTGATCGCCGGCATTGCCGGAAATGGTACGCGCTTTTTTATTTATATTTGTGTTTAATTCATGCCTCCCAGAGCTTGGACCGCACACAACGGTCCGTTTGGTATAACAGCCTGACCTTACATGCCCTGAGTTGATGTGATTTGATCGGGGCTAAGCTGTTTTTAGCAATCCTTTAAGTATTTTTTTTATGTTTTAAGTCAAAACAGGCATACAACCTAAGCGACATTCATGTTGGGTGTAGGCATCAGGTAGCTCAGACCCCCAGCGCGACGTGAGGTTAGATCAGTAAAACCAATTGCTTCGCCTCGTTGTGAAGCCTGTCCACGAGACACTGTAGTGTAGCGCTTTAAAACCCTTCCTCTAAGCCGGGCGTAATGTAGCCTGGATATCCTAGCCTGACCTGATTTGAACCCACATTTCTTGGCCTCGCCTAGGAAATAGTTTGATTTAGAAATACCAAAGGTAGGAGGAACTAATCAAAATTTTACACCAAAAAGCTGCTATGGCATGCCATGGGGATACCCGTCGTCTGAAGCTTACCCGTGAAAATAAGCATTACTTCCTATCCCTCTGTCGTTTCATAGCGGCGTCTAACCAAAACCAGGAAAATTGAAACCCCTGGACAACTCCTGGAAAATATCACCATGTTCACTATGAACCCATATGTCAGACTCATAGCAGCTAAGGGCCTTTCTTGCTTCCTTGTGTTTTTTTCCAGATGCGTCAAAAAAAGCAAACCCGTATCTACCGACTATCCGGAAGTAGCCATGATAAGACCTCAGTATCGCTCTGACCCTCGATCACCTCTGGTGACTCAAACTGCGACTGAAACGTTAGAACAAGATGTGCTCCGCCCTAGGTTCTGGTCAAATCTGTGATCTGTGGTTACCAAGGATATATTTTTCACCTCCCATCATGCACGCTTCTCGAGATATTGAGCTCCCAACGGTTCCGGTCACCCGGGCACTGAACTGCACCGGCGTGGAGGGGGCAGCCAAAAGGTCATCACGCATTCTCTGGCCTGCGCCGGTCCATGGCAATGAAACCTGTGCTTGATTCCAGTCCCCAGTTGCCGAAACCAATGGAAACTTCGACATCATCAAGAAGTCCGGCGAGATCAACATGACGACTGGCCAGTGGACGTATTTTGAGGCGACACACAAGCAAGGTGACTACATAACCCAGGGGTGCGTCAGTGCCTGCGCCCGGACTTGGCGTCGTCACCAGCCGTATGTCGCTTGGCGCCTCCATCAGATCACTTGCGTGAGCGGGTATTCCTAAGGGCACCGGTGCGAACAGTATTGCGCTTCGCTTTCTTGGAAGGCGACATCGGGATCATCATTCGCACGGGTCGCAGCGTATACAGAATATAGCTAGCCATTACAGATAATCATGTGCCGGCGCGAGCGCACACAGCCGTGCATGATGACTGTGATGCCAGCGTCCCCCCCCCCCCCCCTCCTTTCAACATCTTGTGCCAGGAGTCATTTTCACCTTAGTTGTGGGGCATTGGTGATACAAGCCACTGTGGTGGCGGTATCTGTTAAAACACCGCCGGCGTCTGTGCCATCCCGAGCCGTACACTGACCTCTGAGAATTTGCCAAGGTCAAAGTCGCCGCGGAAAAACAAAGCCTGTTATCGACACTTCTCTGATGATCAGGGGCCGGCTCCGTCAGCTGGTCGCGCGGGCTGAGACCGGCACAGAGACCAGTGCGCGGCACGGCTCCAGGCGCCCGCACCTCCGGGTCGCCCCCGGCCTGCTGAGGCGTGACCGGCGCAGCGCCCGGCTGTTGCGCCTCGCTCTCAGCGCCGCCCACGACGGCGCGCCGGCGGCCGTCCGTAGTGTGAGGGTGCGCTCTGCCCGCAGGGTCCGGGTACCGGCTGCAGGTGGGGCTGATCGACTTCGACTCGCCCGTCACGCGAGACGAGTCGCGCGCGGCCAGGACGGACACCCAGACACTGTTCATCAAGGGCACGCTGCGTCAGGAGCGGCAGGCGAGTGGCGCCGGCGCCCAAAGGCAACCGGGACGTCTCGGGCGCCTTCTCACAGCACGCGGCTCCATTACCATTGCAACCAAAACACGTGAAAAACTTCATGTGCCTCGCGATATTCATGTAACTAAGAGCACTCCGTTCGCCCCGGCTATGCAGTCATGTTTGAAGCATCAATTGCTAGCCGTGACCAGCTGAAATGCCGGCCAAGAGCGTTGGTTCTCCGTCTGGATACGTTTCTTATGTAACACAAATTCCAAAAGATGCTGAAATGAAATTGTGTTTGGAAGAATATGAGGTAGGTCAGAATACTAAACAAAATGATTAAAACACCGGCTGTATTTAATGCTTTAATATAATAGATGTAGTTCAGCGAGTACGGCTGTGAACCCGAGTTGTTTCCCAGCAGAGTTATGATGTTGTTTCGCAAAGGTCTTGGGATATCAACCTGATCGCGGATCTATCTATCGGATCGTGTTTTCCAGCATTTACTGATCATTTTCTACCACAAGCGTTAGGAAAGCACCACGAATACCACTTATATAAGCTTTTCTCACGGACCACTCGCTGGCGTCCAAGTTTGGCTTCGTACATGCTGGTTTGCTCGGTAGTCCAGCAAACCGAGGCTGACGTAATGATATATTGATGCTTGAGTCAGTGGTGATCTGTTCATGTAGGCCTGATAATATTCTGTCCCGCTGCTGTTTTGCCGTACCGTTATACATCGTTATAAAAGGCCGTGAAACATGATCATGATCAATGACCGTCGCTGCCTCCGTCGTTGGCTGCAGTCGACGACGTGAGCAGGTACGGCTGTAATGATGACTAACCTTTAGTTTGGTAACCTGATGACTGACCCTTAGTTAGGTAACCATCAGTCTGTTCGTGCTTGGTGGCCATTCAAATAGGATGGCATTGGTAGGGTCCTCTGCAGAGCGCTATAATATACTATCGAATGGTTACCAAGCCTTGTAAATGACCGGCTCTTTGACACACTCAGCCCCGCGCCCTGGTACCCTGTGGCCTCGCAGTCCTCCCGTGCTCAGAAAAAAAGAGGCAATGCTTTCTTGGGCATTCTAGACGAAGATGCATCTCATAACGCCTCGTTCTCGTGTGCGAAGGTGCTCAGCTTTCAAGACTGGCCAGCAGCAGGCAGGGACATCCAGCTCGAATACAACGGCATCGTATCGGGGGTCACGATCAACACGGCCTCGGCCACGGAAGACACGGTTGGTGACATCATTGGGAACGCACGGGGCCAGCGGTGCGTTCTCACCGCATCGCTGGCCATGAATATTGTAAATACTTCCTACCGCTAGCGTGCAAAGCGAGCTATAAAAAAACTTCATTATCGGCTGATAGTCACTGTCAAGCCACGTTTGCAAGCGCCTACGCGCACTGCCAAAATATGTAGATTACTAGTACACATTCATGTGTAATTATAACATATGTGAAATGTGATATATAAATATGACGTATGTGAAATTATAACCGAGGAAAAATAAAGCTGCAAACTGGACTAATTAAATGCACTGCGTTCGACATGGACGAAGGCAACGCGTTGTGAGAATTTACCAACCCACTGGATGCGGCAGAGGGTTTTGTTGCGGCCCCACGGAAACAGGGGCGTGTTGTACCGCTTTGCTCTATCTCACCATATCTGTTCCAACAATAGCTGATGCCTGTCACAGTGTCACCGCTCCCGACACTCTCCCCTACCTCGCACTGCTGCTGGCGGCTGCCTCTCCTGCTCCTGCTCTCCCCTGCCTCTCCCCTGCGCTGGCGGCTGCCGCCCCGGATGGCTTTTGCGTTCTTCAGCGAGGGCCATCCCTCTGCCCGCCGGCGGAGGCGGTGCCGGGACTCTGGATGGTCGTGTCAGGCTCACACGAGCCCCACTGCCGTGGACAGCGGTGTGCAGACGATGCCGTCGTGCCGCCGCTGACGGCACGCCGCGGTGTTTGGTTCTGCAGTGGCGCTCGGCGGCGTTGGACGTGTTCTCGGCCCGCTGCCAGTACGCAGCCGTGGACCAGGCGTGGCTGCAGACATTCGAGGAGGACTCGTCCACGATCGGCGGCGAGACGGGCGAGTACACATGTTCACATGGGCGCTGCGGGTGCAGACAGGGCGATGTGGGGGGGGGGGGGGGGGGGGCAGACGGAGCGCTGCGGGCCAAGACAGGTGCGCTGCGGGCACGGGCGGGGCGCTGCGACCCCCACGATGAGAGCACCACTTGATGTGACGGTAGCAGGTGCGGCGCTACCCTGCCCAGAAAGCAAACTCACCAGATGGCCGAAACGTGTGACGCCCATCCCAAAATGTGTGCTGGTGATCTTCAGTGAAGGAGGACTCGCCACTCTGTTTCCCACGGCTACCTACGGCCCGAAACCGTGCTCTCATGTTCTGTAGAATAGTGGAGCAAGGATGATGCTGGAAACAGGATTGGTCTCGCGCATAGTCTTGCACGAGGCCAAACATGGCCGCGCAGCGTCTTGACAGCAGGCTTGAGGCCCCACTTATCCCCGATCCCACGACGCACACCGCTGTGCGGCGACGGCGCCGCTGTGTGATAACAGCAGCGCTGTGCTGCGAGCAGGTCGGCGGCAGAACGAGACCATCGAGCCGTGGTGTGGCAGGCAGTACCTGCACAAGCCATGGAGCTCCATCTGGTCGGCCAGCCCCACCCCCGTCGACCTCACGCGCTACCGCTGGGTAAGTTCGGCGCATGCAGGGCTGCGTCTCCACGGGACGTGGATGGAGCGCTGTGGTTTCGACTCTGATCATTTGAAACGACTTTAATACAACGAGCCCCGTTCGAGGAAAGTGATGTCGTCATTGACCTTTCGTCCGTCATGCATTAACAAATGGAGACATACTCGGCGCTCCTTCGTTCATTGATGGACGTGCGTGAGTAATTATCAGCCACTAGTCGACCACGATGCCTGAGTCGTTTCCCACTCACTCGTGGGCGTACGCTAGGATCGGCCAGCGCGCGTGACACAGATCTGCCCCCGCCCCCGCCCCATGTGACCCTGCTCCCTCCCCCCCCCTGCCTGCCGCCGGCTCGCATGGGTCTGATTAATAATAAGGCAGTGTGTATTGTATACAGAGCTCATTGGGGCCGTAAGTGGCTGTATCGTGGACAGTAAATGACCTTGGTGTCATCGACACCGGACGCCCGTGCCAAACAGAGGCCTAAATGAAGCCAGCGGCGGGCGATCCATGCATACTGTAGTGAGCGGAAGCAATGCACGGGTGCTGGGCCAATGCTGGGGCTTATGTAAGTGAGGGTTTTACCTATGAATGTTCTCCGAGAAACTAAGGACTATGCCTGCTCTTTGGGACTAAAACGTGATCTTTTATATTTTGACCATGGAAGTTTCCTCTATCTCCAATGCATAAATCACTGTGCCTATGGATAGAACGTGAGTACACCAAGCAAGAAAAGTTGCCTTCCTCGGACATGCGACATACATACACACATACATAAATATATACATACATGCGACACACAAGTGATCGGTTGCTACATAACTGGTGCCAAGCTAGCTGACGAGAAAATCGCAGCCTTTAAGAATTTATATTTTAGGATCAGATCTAACACAAATTACCCATTTTAGATGCGATGGTCCCATCAAACTATCTGTCTTAAATGCTGGAACCGATCCATTCCATTTCGCCACAGAAGAAATATTTCCTAGCATGGATCATTTTAATGCGTCACGTTTTGGCTCGCTTTTAAAAACGATGTCGAATGTATGGGCACGCTTGAGACTTCTTAAATCGATAGGAGACCCCCTACTTGTTTTCATCTATTAGTATTGTTCGTTGCTGAATCCATCCCAATCGTGATCCTATGTTGCTTTCAGTTTTTCCAGTTATCTTCAGCTCAACGCAGAAATGTGTACCAGCTGTAAGAACTTATAGAATCGATGAATAGTTGTAGAAGAAACTGCTTCGGAATTGAAGATCTCGAGCGTGCTATAAATATTCAAAGCTGGCTGAGAAGTTACAATGACGTCCGAATATCTTCGTTATCGCACGAAAGTTGACGGAGCCTCGGCTGCTGTTGGTCTTATCCATTTTAAAGCAAACATTTGTTACCACGGTACAGCTGCCGTCAGGCACCTCGCGTTAACTGCTTACATGAACTGTGATCCTCTTGAGGGGCTATCGCCGAGCTGTCGTAACATTCTGATATTGAGGGGAGAGCTGTGACGTTGACGAATCTGGCGCTTACACAACATAATCACACAATTCCTGCTGACAGATGTGCTGTACTGGTGGCTTCGTAAGTCTTTTGGAGTAAAATCAGTGCGGAAAGTGCCAGCTGTCCCATCAACCTTAGCTAATTGTAGCATCGGCCGTGCATATTCCATGGTAAATATAGTTATAACTGCTACTGTACCCTTCTCCTCCGTGTTGCAGCTTTCTCTGTCCCTAGACGCATGTCTTACGCAGACCCGAAGTGCAGTCGACTGCAAGGTCGTGGCCGGACAGCGACTCAGCAGATGTGTGTGTGTAATGCTAACAGCGGGGGGGGGGGGGGGGGGGGCTATCACTGCATTGTTTCACAGGTAATGGTGACTCCTGTGTTGCCACGCCTGTCGGGCAACGTGAATAATTGTGTAATGTTCACAGCAGTGCTTGGTTGGCGCATATGTTGTGTTAATGTCTTTCTTGTGCGGTTTGTGTGGCTGCTATGGTTTGTGCGTCTGCTATGGTTTGGTGACAGGTGCGGTGTCTGCAGTTTTGCGCTCCCAGGTAGTCGTCACCAGCGTTGGCGGTTTCGCCGCCATAAAATGAGATTGTCACCTCGCAGGATATCGCAAAAATGTTGGGCAATGAATGTGCGAGGCTAGCTATCATCGTAATGTTATGAGTTATCTTTCTCAAGTGGAGGTTTGGAGGCAGGACACTTTAGTTCCCAAACTGAATGTGCTAGAATAAAAACTTACAAGAAAATGGATTAGTGGCCGTTGTGTGAGCCCTAAAAGAAAACTACTGTATTTGAGGGAAGTCGTAAAGACGCTCAGCAATAAATGTGCAGCAGTAAAACTCAGCAGTACATATTTATCATTGCAATGACACTTAAAAGTGCGCGTGGGTTATCCGGATGTAACAAGAAGCATTTTATGTTTCATCCAATTTTGATCATAAGGGTATGGTGAAAGCCGTGAATAGCGCTGCGCTGCTCCAATGCCGGTGGTGGCCATAAACTTCCTGCTGGCTGGCCAATCAGTTTGAACAACAACCCAAGGAGTCGTTGGTCGGTGCCAGTGACGCTTAGGTGCCGCGGGCGGCGGACAAAATCTGTCGTGTGCCTCGAAATTGAAATCGCCTGGCTTTGGATGCATTAAAATGCCTTTCATAAATGCATTCCGAATAACCATTCAGAATGTAATGCACGGTTGGCTTTGGGTTCACAGTAGCTGCTAAGCATAACTTGCTGTGCGAACGCTGAACACACCAACGAAGTTGTACAGTCCAGTTTAACGGAGCATTTTGCCTCCGCTGTCTCACCGGGCGGGAATGCGGATGGGTTTACTTGTCGCACAGTGCTGAGACGCAATCGGCCCGGGCTTGGGTTGACCCTCACCGGCAAGTAGCCAGCTGACCTTTCCATTCCAGTCGGGCCAAACAGTGCGCCCGCTCTGGAACTCGTCCCCAGTGCCGCTAAATCACGAGTCAGACGTGATTCTCTAGACCACGGAGACAATAAACATAAGAGAATAAAGCATGAAATATAAAATTACACCGTTAAGAATAACGTGTTACCGTCGAAATAAAGTACCACATTTTACAAAACGTGCTGAAAAAGCTAGTTTCTTGTAGTGTTAGTCCTTAATGTGGCCGTAGTTTGAGTGGGAAGTCAGAAATTGCCGGGAAATGGCTGTTTGAAATGCAAATTCCGAACATTCGGTAACAAATCTAGAAAAATGCATATCCATTCAAAGTTGTACACACCGAATGCAATTGCGGGTGAGGATGCAAGCAGCAGGGGTCGCATGGATTATGTTTTTAGAGGCTCAGCCACTAAATAAATCCATGTTTTAACACAATACGTATTGCACGATCTGGACAGAATTGCAATATTATTTCATGTAATAGCTTCCATGTGGGCTGAACTGACCTCAAATCGAATATCTTAAACCACGTGAGATAGACATCGACTGATCTTTAAAAATCTAAAAAATTATCTAGCTGAGCGAATAATCGCCAAGGACCGTTGTTTTTCCGTGGGACAACCATTTGCCGACTGCAGAACCGCTAGATAAGACTATACGGTGCATATAGTTTCAAGGGTGAGGTAAAGAGCGTTAGCTTTCCACATTTTCGCGGCGCAGGCCTTTAAGAGCGAGTTATCATACATCGTTCGGCTGGAACGGTGGAAAGTCAAAGTTTGTAGGCCAGGTATAAAATGCGCATTCGTGCATTCTAAATTTCAATACAATCCGGGAATCTGTCCGGAAGACGTTTCCGGAAATCCGGAAGGGGTGCACAAACAAAGCGGGGGCGAGTGTTGTCTGTTGCGTTACCGGTGTTCGTTATCGGACAAATCACATTTGCGACCGGTGTTCACAGAGCTTGTTTTGTGTTGTTAGCAACTCATTAGCAGGTGTACTTTGATTTTAGGTCTGTCTGAGAGCGGGTGGTGTGTAGACCCGTTGTCGTGTGTGCTGTGTTGTCGGTCACTGCTAGCATGCGTACTGATCTGTCGGAGCCTGCTAACGAGCCATGCCGCGTTGACTGCCACCGTTGACCTGCGCTCTCGCCCCGTGTCGTCGGACCGCGCTGACAGTGGCGCGCGCGTGTGTTCTGCGTCGACAGCTGTGCCTGGCGCACCGGGGTCAGATCCAGGGTCGCGTGAAGGTGCTGGTGGAGTGGCGGAACGATCGGGGCGACTGGGCCGGCCGCTGGCGGCAGTTCGACGCCGGTCTGACTGCTAGCCAGAGGTATGTGACGGCACCTGGAGCCTCAGGGCCTCAGGCGGCTGCTATGCACCGCCGAACACGGCTGCTGGGCACCGCCGAACACGGTTGCTGGGCATTGCTGAACACGGCTGCTGGGCACCGCCGGATACGGCTGCTGGGCACCGCCGAACACGGCTGCTGGGCACCGCCGAACACGGCTGCTGGGCACCGCCGAGCACGGCTGCCGAGCACAGCCGAATACGGCTGCTGGGCACCGCCGAACACGGCTGCTGGGCACCGCCGAACACGGCTGCTGGGCACCGCCGAGCACGGCTGCTGAGCACGGCCGAGCACGGCTGCTGGGCACCGCCGAACACGGCTGCTGGGCACCGCCGAACACGGCTGCTGGGCACCGCCGAACACGGCTGCTGGGCACCGCCGAGCACGGCTGCTGAGCAGCGCCGAATACGGCTGCTGGGCACCGCCGAACACGGCTGCTGGGCACCGCTGAGCACGGCTGCTGGGCACCGCTGAGCACGGCCACCGAACAACGCCCGTGATTTTTGATCAAACGCTGAGCTAGAAGGCAAACCCTCATTATGCATGATGGCGTTTCACAATGGATTAGCCCGCGCGCCTCCACTAATGGTAGGTATGGGAGCAACGACGTATAATTTTAGAGCTTAAAAATTGTATCCAGCGCAATACGGTTTATTGGTCGAGTACATAGTCAAGTACGCAACATTGACGGGCGCATTTATCTGTCAGTTTTTTGTTTGTTTGTTTATTTTTTGAAATCCTGCACTGTATCCATATTGCATGACTGGTCTGTCAGTTATGAGCTTGTATCTTGTGATGTAAATATTCAGCCGTAAAACGACTAGTATGTGATTGGCCTAGTCCTGATGGCTTTCGGTATGAGCAGCCAGACAACAAGCCGCTAAACATGTGTGATGGCAGTGATATTCCCTTTGGTGAATAATTCAGAAACACTGCAATTATTGCCCATACTAGAGCCGCACGGACAGTGAGGGACGCATGATACGCTCAGGTGATCAGTGGCCATTGTCTGATGATATGAAAATAATGCGTCAACCAATGGTAATTGACCGGCCAGCCGTAGCGTGACTCTACTGCTGGCTTATGATAATGACAGATAACGGCGCAGTTAAATTTCGTATCTGATGACGCAAACAATACACTTTTTTCAAAACCATGTGTTTAGCCCGACGTCGTGCGTCAGACAAAATGTCGTTTTGAAATGATTTGCTTTTTGGGTGTCGCTGAAGTTCAAGATAGCCGACCAAAAAGTTAGGTTTTTGGTGACGGTTGCGAGTCTTGATCGTAGACCTTTGACCGAGGGGGGGTCAAGGTCATGACCACCGGGTCAAACTCGCGACGGACGCGGGCCCGGCCTCCGCTCGTCTGTCGCGTTAGGGAAAATTGCTTCAGCTCGCTCACCACTCATGCCCGCCATTTTGTCTGGCACCGGTAGCTGATAGTATCGCTTTATCTTCCCAAGCGCATCTACTGTCGTTTTATATTCATTACTTTGTGCTTTGACGCGCACGATAGTCTCAGCGGAGTGACGTTCTAATTACGGTCAGCAATGTGGCATCAACAGTGGAAGTGATCCCTAAAGACATGGGACTGGTAACCTGCGGCATAGCTGCTGGAAGTTATGTTGACCGGGCAAGGAAGGAAATCCAAAAGAAATTTTCCATGAAAGCAGGAGTTTCCCTCCAAGGAGAAGTGGTGCGCCGGTCCGCATGTGCTAGGGGCAGTGTGTGGTGGTGCACTATGGGGGGTGGTGGTGACTGTTGGCTGATGCGGGCTCAGCGCACGTCTAAAGGCGACGCTTTTTTAGAAAAAAGCTTAGAGCTGTCACTCCGTCCAGGCTTTGGCGATACGCCATTCTCCTTTGGCTGACGTGGCCTACATATGGTTACACTAAGCGTGGTATTCCCATCACCTAACGCGTCGCGTCAAACACATGCGCACGACAGACAAAATCAAGTCAGCTCAAACGTCAATAAGCTGATCAAAAAGCTTCTTTGACGTTTCGACGCTTTAAGTGTCCTGACCAAATGTTTTCATGTGTTCCTTACACGCAATCATCACAGCCGGCAGCAGGTTTGGCGTAGGTCAAGGTCTGCTGCTGGTGTGTGAATGCATAATTTCAGGTCCTAATCGCTGTACTCCTTACCAGCGTACATGACTTGACCTAGAGTGCCGAATCTAGCGTGACCCGCTGGTGATCACTGGCTCTTGTCAGACGCGCAGCACTACGCTTGATGAAATATTTAACGGACGATGTGCACTAAATGTCTATGCATGCGGGATGCATGTTAAGCGCTCGAGACTATCACAACATTCGGGGTTTGGCTTAACATTTAGGGCTGATTGCAAGGTGTTGGGATGTGGTGATGTCATTTGTGGCATCGCACTGGCGTCTCGGCAGGTGGACCTACAGCTGTGTGGACGTGGTGGACGGGCTGGGGGAGGATGCCTCCCATCCGGTCCGGCTGGTGTCTTGGCAGGTGGACCTACAGCTGTGTGGACGTGGTGGACGGGCTGGGGGAGGATGTCTCCCACCCGGTCCGGCTGGTGTCTTGGCAGGTGGACCTACAGCTGTGTGGACGTGGTGGACGGGCTGAGGGAGGATGTCTCCCACCCGGTCCGGCTGGTGTCTTGGCAGGTGGACCTACAGCTGTGTGGACGTGGTGGACGGGCTGGGGGAGGATGTCTCCCATCCGGTCCGGCTGCGGCACCTTCAAATCCCGTTCAGCTGGGCTGAGGAGGTCTTCTTCGATGATATCAGCTTCAGCACAGAGGAAAAAACACGTCAGTGCCTACTTCATCGGAAATGATAATTGGACAACATCACAGCTGTGTGGAGCGGCCCCTATCAAATATACTTGCTTAGATGAGAACATTTTGTTTGTCATAACTGCCCTAAATATTCGTCCTGCTGTCATCACGCTTTATTTAATCGTTCAACATTGTCTGAAATTCGTTGTACTGCAGTGACGGGTCTGACGTCATGTAATGGGGAGGGACCACGTTTTTGGAAGCCGTCAGTAAAGGGAGCGCAGAATAGTACGATGAGCACTGCTCTAATCGTCTGTCCGCTTGCTCTACATGCATTTCGCTTATTTTGGCAGGCAAAAACCTCCAGTCGGCCATCTGAAAGAACGCGAGCAGCGTAGATCACTGCACGTCAATATCTAAAAAGATAAAAGTTTGACTTTTCGCTGTTCTCCGTAGGTCATGACTTGTTCATCTCGCTTTTGCACCCCATCGAGTCCAAATGTGCTTAGAGGGAATGTTGTCTGTTGCTGCATGTGCCTTTGAGCATTATTTTAACGTCCTTACATTGATGATGGCTGGGAAGTTCTGCGTACCCTGGCCTGCCCGACATGATATGTTAATGTACTGTATTTGACGATCTATGTGAGCTATTGCCGTCGCCGCTAACATTTCAGCTCTGTGCTTAACACACCCGGCGTGTGTTATCTATGCTTCGGGTGTATTTTCACGCTGTCTTATCGTTCCCCAAAGTCAACCGATCAAACCCATACAGTTGCCTTCTCTGGGGACAGAGTGTATGCTGTGTTCGCACATCGCTAACTGGTGGCGGTCTATTTCCAGTTATCTCGCGCCGTCCAGCAGCCCGTCTTGGTGCCGACCCGCTGTTCGTGCGAGATGTCCAGGTCATGAGCTCGTCTGACCCCTTGACCGTCCATATGACCCTGGAGGTGGCCCAGTGTGCGTCCAGTCTGTCTTTGTTCCGAGTGGCCGGAACAAACGGGACAGGTACGGCGGAGGGAGGGGGAGTGGACCTGAGCCTCGTCTAAAGCCTGAAGCCTTCTGTTCGAGGCAATGTTTTTCACGCTCGCTGTGATTCAGCCATCCAGACAGGGGTATCGACTGCAAAGGGTCTGAGAGGGAGGCAAATAACGGCTGCATGTAAGGATTTCTGCGTATGAGGGACGCATGTGCCTCATTAACTTGACTGTAAGCTGGAACAAAATTTGTCGAGATTCTCGTACCAAGTTTGCCTGCAGTACCTTAGCATCAGTATCAGTTTCTGCATGCGCATCATGTACAGATTGCTTACTCATCTGCCTTGCATGGTTTGATCTTGCCCTGACGTCGTCAAGGTACCGACAGTCACCAGTGGGCCTGATGGTTGATGGCGCAGTTAACGATGACGGTTGATGATGCGGCGCGCAGGCAGCCGTCTGAGGGCCCCAACAGTGCGGGACGCAGGATACTCCCAGAGCGGAGGCGGACCAAGCAGGGACGCAGGACACTCCCAGAGCGGAGGCGGACCAAGCAGGGACGCAGGATACTCCCAGAGCGGAGGCGGACCAAGCAGGGACGCAGAACACTCCCAGAGCGGAGGCGGACCAGGCAGGGACGCAGGACACTCCCAGAGCGGAGGCGGACCAAGCAGGGACGCAGGACACTCCCAGAGCGGAGGCGGACCAAGCAGGGACGCAGGATACTCCCAGAGCGGAGGCGGACCAAGCAGGGACGCAGGATACTCCCAGAGCGGAGGCGGACCAAGCAGGGACGCAGGATACTCCCAGAGCGGAGGCGGACCAAGCAGGGACGCAGGACACTCCCAGAGCGGAGGCGGACCAAGCTCATTTGTAAAGACAGTCGATTTGTGACTTGCCTCTTTCCGTTCTGGGACAGGAGTTCATACAATGGGGTCCACAGTGTTGCCGCTTTTGTTTCTGAGAGCAGAACAAATGAGTTCCGATAGGGCGCGCCTTGGCAGTTAGTATGGTGGCTGCACCAAGCGAAACGGCTGTACGTGCACTAACGGAGCTGCGATAGGGCACAACCTGGGAGTTAGTATGGCGGCTGCACCAAAAGAACAGAAGAGGTATCTGAAGTGCTGGGTGTGGGCGAGTACCTAAACGTAACCCACGGCAGTACCGCGTGTCCTTTTACACGTGCTCATTTGAATCCGAGGTAATCACTTCAGCCACCCCACGTTGGGCACGTGACTTTCACCTGGGTACTGCATCCTCACTCCACAGCAGCAATGCAATGCCAGGATCGTGGAGGTCCCGTGTGCGGGGCCATCGGATGATGCCCGCGCGGTGCCGTCGCAGCCCCTGGGGGCAACTGAGGCGCCCACTGTCGGACAACGACATCTCCCACAGAGCGAACGCGGCGTCGGACACGGACCGTGGCGTTCGGCGATGGGGCGCACTGCCGTTGGGGGTTGGCCTTGGTTTTCCGTAAGGTGCGCCACGCCGGCGACAGCTCAGTGCACGTCAGGAAACAAATGTCGGGAAAGGAGAAGCGCGCGGGACAACACGTGGACAGATGTGGCACGCTACACGCGTCGCTATGGTGTCAACGCTCAACTTTTATGAAACGTGGCTGGGTCACACTGTCGAGTTGACCCGTCTGTGCTGGCGGTGCGGTCAGGTCGCGCGGCCATGCACTGCCCGGGCTGATGACGGGGTGCGGAGGAGGGCAGCAGCCGAGGCAGCACGCAGCACGCGGTGGTGCTGCCTCGGCTGCTGGCGTGGCGGGCGACTGGCAGCACGCAGCACGTGGTGGTGGTGCCTCGGCTGCTGGCGTGGCGGGCGGCCGGCAGCACGCAGCACGCGGTGGTGCTGCCTCGGCTGCTGGCATGGCGGGTGGCCGGCAGTACGCGGCACGCGGTGGTGCTGCCTCGGCTGCTGGCGTGGCGTCCGGCCGGCAGCACGCAGCACGCGGTGGTGCTGCCTCGGCTGCTGGCGCGGCGGGCGGCCGGCAGCACGCAGCACGCGGTGGTGCTGCCTTGGCTGCTGGCGTGGCGGGCGGCCGGCAGCACGCAGCACGCGGTGGCGCTGCCTCGGCTACTGGCGTGGCGGGTGGCCGGCAGCACGCAGCCGTCGGTACGCCCGTACCCTACAGGCGACCTCTGCGGTGCACCAGGACCCGCGACCGCTGGGCGGGAAGAGAGTTGCGACGGAATAAATGAGCATGGGCATTCTGGTCAGTCTATCAGCTTCAGCCAGCTCGGTGCTCGGATAGGATGCCTATTGTTAGGCAGCACTAGCGCCGCCTGAGCCCACGCGTCAGCCCGCTTGCTTGCTTCACGCGATGTGTGCCCATTGCGTCAGCCGGCGTTTTCTGCACGGAAGCTGCAGCAAGCCTGCGCATTGTGATAGTGTGGGACGGATCGGTACAAGTGAACACAAGCAGGGCGACAAGAACCAAATAAGAACCGAGGATCCGCTGGATGGCTCACTTCACATTCGGTGTCGCCTCGTAATTGATATTGGGTCTGACACGCTGTCAAGTATTTGTCCCTCCTGACGAGAGCTCCCAGTTCTTTTTGTCCTCCCTTAATTGTACAGACGGAAGGTCCTTCGCCCTCTCATATCCCGTTGAAACGATGCGCAAAGTCGTCGACGATGGACAAAAACTTCTTCATTAGCCATTGCCTCTTCCAATGAGCAATACGCCTGGTTAGAAAAAGGCAATCATTGCCGGATGTAGTCGTAGTCCTCCCTTGTTTTTGTGCCTCTCGTGCGACATGTGACAGTGTCGACCCAAGCCGATCAAGGACGTATTTACACTGCAACGGTGACGGCTGATTATGGACAGAATGCGAGGCAGTGCAGCCCTAGCCGTCGGCCCCAGTCGGCACTGCCCCGTTGTTTGAGCTGCCGGCCAAATCAGACGAAATCCAACCTGAAACACGTGAGTGTAGCAGACAAAACTGTATCCCCGTCCCCACACGCCTCGGAGGTACCACTCTGCGCTGGTCGTCACTCTGCACAGCTCGCGGCATCTCGAGCCGTCCTACATAGACACGCGCACCACGCGGTTCGGCAGAAGCTGTCACCGCGCGGCACTCGCGCGGCCCGCCAGCACGAGGCTCTGACGCCCTCGCCCCGGTCCGCGCCCGCAGCCCTGAGCGACACGTCCAAGCTGGACAGCCTGGAGATGACGGGCGCCGATTGGGGGGCCGCCTCCGTCCGGGTGGCGAGGAACGTCAGCGCCAGCCCCCCGCCGTCCGGCACCTGGGACATCATGTTCGACGGACGCACCATCGCAGGTAGCCGGGCGGTGGCAGTCTGGGCGCGCTGGACGAGGGCTGGGACGTCCTCGTGCGGTGTGTCGGCTGTATTCAGCGGAGCTCGGACTCAGATGTCATGTGGTTTTTGAGTGTGTGCTGTTCGTAATGCGTGAAACGACGCCCTGGTTGCCAGGCAGACAGAGCGTTCTTTACTTTCTGTTGCTCGTCGAATTCCATCCTGACTGTCAGACGCAGTGCTATTCCCACTTCTGGTGTCAAATCTCGTCCTTTCGGGATGATGGCATGCCATTTGTCAAACTTCCCTCCCCTGGTATACGGCGGTCACCCCTCTTTGCTCGCTGCATGGCATCAGGCCCTGGCCGCCGTCAGCTAACGCGCCTTCGCCGCCGGCCAGGCGTGCCGACCAATCTGACGGCGGAAGGCATGACCCTGCTGCTGGGCACAGGGCTGGCCATGCCCGGCATGATCGTCGCCCGCTGGGGCGCGTGCCACAACCTCCACTGGAACGTCGCCTTCCGCCACCACGGCGGGCGGCAGCCGCTGCTCGCCGTTAACGGCAGCGGCGTGCTCTTTGACGGGTACGGCCCGCTGGCAGCGGCGCGGTCCCAGCCAGCCGGCCGCCGAGGGACGGTGCTTTGGAGCCGTCGGCGGCCGGTGGTAACAGCGGCCGCCGGACGCTCTTTGATGGTCATACAACGCACAGATATGGTCGCTGAGGGGTCACACGGGGCTGGTCGCTTGCTGGACCGCTTCTGGGGCGCTGGGTGTGACGTGTGGTGTTCACTTGGTGTTCAAGGGGTGAGCTTGCCGGTCATGTGCTCCAAATGAGTGCCGAGGATCACATCGAGAGACATCGCCAAGCACATTTCATTCGAGGTTAAGGCATCGTATTTTCTCCGCCATCTGGGACATGTGTATCGCGGGCGGTCGTGTTATGACGTTGTATAGCACCATAATGATCTTCCAGCCCTATCCGGCTGACTAGGCGAAGCAACATTATTCCGTAGTTCAGGCAACCTACGTATCAGGCTTAGTGTCCACAAAAAGCAACGTTTCCGCGTGTCTGCGTTCTCTCAATCAATAAAAACTATCATGCAACTAAACTCGCCTTAAAAGGTGCGCTCTTTGTTCTGGACGGCATTCACCTGCTGGCCGGTGATAACCAGACGCCCCTGTTTTGTCCAGTGACAACCTGCAGGTCGGCGTGTGGAAGGACACGACGAGCGGGGAGGGCGGTGTGACGCACCCGTACCTGCCGGCGGACCTGACCCGCCAGCCGCTGGCGCAGGCCGCCCTGCAGGTCCAGGTCAGCGTGGCCAGCGTGACGGGTCAGTGCGCCAGCGACTGTCAGGTCACGTACGACGCCGCGCTCAACTCTCTGGTCACCGCCGTCACATCGGAAATCGGTGAGACTTGCTTCCACCGGCCTGTGAGCAGAAAATGCCATGCCTTGGTAGTGGCCGACGTGAACACTGTTGGCGGATTTTTTGGCAGGCCTTCAAGCGAGCATGGTAGACGCGTGAAATAGCATTCCGAGCGAGAAAAGTGGGTCCATATAATTTGCTTTAACGTACATGGTTTACTGCGCTGCATTTTTGCCTCTATGTCCATGCTCAGCACAGCCATGTCGTAACCTTGTTAAATCGAATCTTTGGAGCAATGCAAATTATTGTCGACTAACCCTCCGTACTAAAAAAACAACATCTTCAAGCGAATGAACTTGTGGTTGCCAGAGGACGACACAGGAGACGTCACCGTGGCCCTGACCGGGGTCAACCTGGGCTCGACCGCCGAGGGGGTCAGTGTGACCTTGACCGGCGCCGTGGCCACCCGCAGCTGCACCGTGACCTCTGCCACGAGCACCCAGGTCACGTGCACTGCCAACAGCGTGCAGGCGGGGAGGTACAACGTGACCCTGACCGTTTCCAATCAAGGTACTGGACGCTGCTGCGCCTCATTTGGTAGGGTGTGGAGGCTGATCAGTTGCGACAGACAAGAAGGGTTTGCAACCTGGAAATTGCGCTTGTATAACTGGTCTAATTGTTCTATGGCAGTTAGCAAGACATTGGTTAGGAAGACTAGGCTGACGTGGGATGTCATGAAATTACGTGAAACGTTATAATTGCATGCTACTTGCATGTCACGTATTCGTCACTTCATGGAAACAGCGTTTCATTCAATGGCTTAAGACATGCGACAGTTGGTTTCGTATTTGCGATGCTACACTTTCTCCATTTTTAGCACCCACACTTCCCGTGCACATCCAGGTTACATGCCTACACGATCGGACCTACACATACACATTTTGCATACGTACACAAGTATAAGTGGATTGTAACATTAAAACCAAAAGCTGTCATGTATTGACCTGCACGCCCAGCTCCAGTCAGACCTTGTCATATTTGCGTCGGCACCCACGGCCGGACACGGTGCTCCTCCGGTGAGACGGTGCCGACCGGCAGGCATGGCTTCCGGTGGCGGCTCTGTGGACGTGACCCCGCTGTTGACCTCGGTGACGCCGGGTCAAGGCAGCCCGCTCGGCGGTACCGTGATCTCCGTGCGGGGCCGCCGGCTGCCGCACGCCCTGGCTGGCTGGCAGTTTGGCGAAGTCACCGTAGGCGGCGCCACCTGCCGAGTTATCAACACTACGTCTACAGCCTCCAGCTGCGAGATCCAGGGCACTGTGGTGAGATCATGGAGAAGCACGTAGTGCTGGGATGTAGCGATCGTTTTCCTACTCTTTCAAGTGAAGATAGGCTGGGCGAGTTCTGTCATATTCTGTTTTGTAATACTCTAGGTCACGTAGCTAACAGCAGCACGTGCTCATTATTGCATTCATTGATGTTGCGCTGGTAATTCTTAACGACGAGATCCGCACCTCAAGGTGCATTGACATACATGACTTTTGTCAGTATGCTGGCAAATCTAGATTGAACATATTCGGAAATCATTAGGAGTTTGCGTCGTGCTTGGTGTCCAAAAGCTGTAGCAACACGGCCGTATTTTTTGCGCATCGTCATCACTGACGTTAGCGCAGTAATGATCGCAGTTCGACCGGTGTCATCGTATGCAGGTGCACGAATGTCATCTTGGACTTCGAAAATAGCCCTGGTCGCTCATAAACACACCTGAATTCGTAAAGCACAGACATTATCATGAAGCGTCTCACTACGTTTAAAGCCATTGACAAATTACTAGACGGCGTCATTTAGCTAACGGGCCTATAAAAAAGTTCCTATTTCCGCAACGTTCACGCAACCCGTTGCCCAGCTTGGCGTCCTTTCAACAAGTCGCCGTTCAAGGGGTCCCGCCATCGGTAAGCACTCGTAGAACAGATTGCACTCCCCTGTTCATGACCTCGAGCACGCCTGTGATGAGCGCAGCCCTGCTCGCTGCCAGCGGTGGGCGGGACCGCTGCTCCGCCGTTCTGTCGGTGCTTCCTGCGCCGGCGCCTCTCCGTGCCGTCCTCACCGTGCCGCGCCCACCCCAGGGGGAGGCTGCCACAGCGGCGGACGTGACGGTGGCCTTCGGTGACCGGAGTACGGCGCTCGCCGCGGCGTTCAGCCCGCTGGCCGAGAACGCCGTGCTCTCCGCCATCAACGTGACGTCATCAGGAGCAGCAGGTCAGCGGCGGTCAGCGCTGGGACAGCGCTGGGCAGCGCCGGGAGTGGAAATCGGGGCTAGTCTCAGAACCGGCGCCGGGGCGTTGTCAGAAGATCTCTTCCAATGTTTTGTTTTCGGCCGGCTTTGGGAATTGGAATACCATGTTCACGCATGGAACGTGTGCGGTATCTTTCTGTGTTGGAAGTAGGGTGAGTTTGTGTATGGAAATGCTTTATATGGTTTCTGATTTCATGAACCTCGGGTTGAATGCAGCTGTTGTCTGTTGTTTGAATGCACTTCACATGCGACTGCATTTGGAGGCAAGTAGCAAAGAGTGATTCTACCACATGGAGTAATGTTATCTCAACTCCAAAGTCGGCGGTTCCAACGAAAACTGCCCATGGCACCATACGCAGTGAATCTGTTTCTTACTCAACAAGTACTGGGTCACTCGGAACCCCATTTTCCCCTCAAATAGCTATGGCCATTGACTGTGGTATGTTACGCCCGCTACACTGGACAATTACCGACCTGGTGCTGCACCACAGGAGTCCGACCCCTGACACCTCCGACCCCAGACACTCACCGCGGTGCCCGGTCCCCTCAGGAGGTGGTCCCCCAAACACTCACAACGGTGCCCGGTCCCCTCAGGAGGTGGTCCCCCAGACACTCACCGCGGTGCCCGGTCCCCTCAGGAGGTGGTCCCCAGATACTCACCGCGGTGCCCGGTCCCCTCAGGAGGTGGCCCCCAGACACTCACCGCGGTGCCCGGTCCCCTCAGGAGGTGGTCCCCCAGACACTCACCGCGGTGCCCGGTCCCTTCAGGAGGTGGTCCCCCAGACACTCACCGCGGTGCCCGGTCCCTTCAGGAGGTGGCCCCCAGACACTCACCGCGGTGCCCGGTCCCTTCAGGAGGTGGTCCCCAGACACTCACCGCGGTGCCCGGTCCCTTCAGGAGGTGGCCCCCAGACACTCACCGCGGTGCCCGGTCCCCTCAGGAGGTGGTCCCCCAGACACTCACCGCGGTGCCCGGTCCCTTCAGGAGGTGGCCCCCAAACACTCACCGCGGTGCCCGGTCCCCTCAGGAGGTGGTCCCCCAGACACTCACCGCGGTGCCCGGTCCCTTCAGGAGGTGGTCCCCCAGACACTCACCGCGGTGCCCGGTCCCCTCAGGAGGTGGTCCCCAGATACTCACCGCGGTGCCCGGTCCCTTCAGGAGGTGGCCCCCAAACACTCACCGCGGTGCCCGGTCCCCTCAGGAGGTGGTCCCCAGACACTCACCGCGGTGCCCGGTCCCTTCAGGAGGTGGCCCCCAGACACTCACCGCGGTGCCCGGTCCCCTCAGGAGGTGGCCCCCAGACACTCACCGCGGTGCCCGGTCCCTTCAGGAGGTGGTCCCCCAGACACTCACCGCGGTGCCCGGTCCCTTCAGGAGGTGGCCCCCCAAACACTCACCGCGGTGCCCGGTCCCCTCAGGAGGTGGTCCCCCAGACACTCACCGCGGTGCCCGGTCCCTTCAGGAGGTGGCCCCCCAAACACTCACCGCGGTGCCCGGTCCCTTCAGGAGGTGGCCCCCCAGACACTCACCGCGGTGCCCGGTCCCTTCAGGAGGTGGCCCCCAGACACTCACCGCGGTGCCCGGTCCCTTCAGGAGGTGGCCCCCCAAACACTCACCGCGGTGCCCGGTCCCTTCAGGAGGTGGCCCCCCAGACACTCACCGCGGTGCCCGGTCCCCTCAGGAGGTGGCCCCCCAAACACTCACCGCGGTGCCCGGTCCCCTCAGGAGGTGGCCCCCCAAACACTCACCGCGGTGCCCGGTCCCTTCAGGAGGTGGCCCCCAGACACTCACCGCGGTGCCCGGTCTCCTCAGGAGGTGGTCCCCCAGACACTCACCGCGGTGCCCGGTCCCCTCAGGAGGTGGTCCCCCAGACACTCACCGCGGTGCCCGGTCCCCTCAGGAGGTGGTCCCCCAGACACTCACCGCGGTGCCCGGTCTCCTCAGGAGGCGGCTTCCTGGGCATCACCGGTTCTGGGTTCGGCCCGGTACAGGCCGACCAATCAGTGACGGTGGGCGGGGCGCCGTGTGACGTCACCCGCTGGCGCGAGGAGGCCGTGACGTGCCGACTGCCGCCGCTCGGCCACGGCCAGCACGCCGTCCAGCTGCGCAGGGGTCAGCTGGGCCTGGCCGACAGCAGGTGTGTCATGGGTCCAGGGTCATGACCTGTGCCGTCACCCAGCCGTGTCGAGAGCTCTCTCCATCGCCACGTGAGGCTGGGATTTTAGCGGCTTTTGTGAGTGCAAAATAGCTGAAGATGCTCCAAGACCACCAAGGAGCATGGACAAAATGTATTATTAGCGCGGTCAAGGGAGATTTTAGCGATCGCCTTTAGCGATGGTGTGCTCTGCTGTATGCAAGCCCCAATGGTTGGCCAGATACCAGAAGACGCTCGACCTCGCAGAAAGCTTATCTATCCAGTGGATGGATGAAATATTGTCCAGTCAGCGAACTTTATATTACAGCAATCCGTAGTTCACCGCCAATACATCGCCCGGGTGATAATTGAGGACGTTGTCCACCCAAGCAAACTGTATCGTCCAGAAGTATGACCATACCGTATCTTGCTACCCAGGTAGTAACGCAACATTTGGGCCGGAAACAAAAACGGTAATTTATTTTCCACAGTGGCATTGGAGCGATCAGCTACCAGTTTACAGTCTCTGACATATCACCGCGCCTCGTCTCCGCAATGGGAGGATCCACCGTGCGGATCACGGGTCAGGGGCTAGCCGCCGACTGCCAGAGACTGGACATCACGGCCGGGGACGCCTTCGTCTGCGAGCCGGTCACCTGTACCGACACGGAGATCATGTGCCTCGTCAACAGACGCCGGCGCCGCCACGTGATTCGCAACAATGCAACACACCCGCGTACGTCCCGTCCCAGGATTTCCGGGCCGGTTGTTGTCATGCGCCGTTGTGCAGGATGCGCAAGCGATCATGGAACTAGAGGTTTGCAACTGGTATTATGCATGTATGCCATCAGCTTGTCAATGTTTTCACCCCTGTCGCTGTTCTCACCACACACCACATCGTCTTACAGTCCTGGTAGAGCCCCTTCTCACCTGGAGCGTGCTGCGGCCGCCAGCCAGAGCCGATCTCACTGCCGTCCTGGTGGGGGGGGGGGGGGGGGCGGTCGAGCGCCCACACGTACCTCGAAGTCGGGTCCCGTGTGCGGGATGGGGCTCGGCAGCGGTGACAGCCGCCATGATCCCAGCTTGTCCCACCCCTTGCCTGTCCCTTTACTCCCATAGCACTCAAATGTTCAGTTATGGACGAAAGAGGATTAACCTAACTTGCGCAACCCTCTAGTTGTTCTCGGTGGTACATATCCGTGTAGAAATATCCCAAACCTCCAGTAGTATTCAGTGGCGTTCAGCCGCGTAGAAATAGCCCAAATCTCTAGTTGTACTCAGTGGTGCATATGCGCGTAGAAGTAGTTGCGATCGTCGAAGAGCTATCGGAGTATGCCTTTTTACCTACACGCTTATCGTTGACAGTAAAAATACTGCCCTTGCTGTAGGGCCACGTTTTTCGTGCCCGCATCTCCAACCGTTAGCACCGCAGAACAGATCATCTGGTGCTGACGGAGCTGTGCGCGGTCGCCAGGTTACGGCCCTGGCTACCTGTGGCAGCCGCAGCACCTGACCGTGTGGCCCGGTGACCTGGTCACCTGGCGCTGGGCGCCGGGCCAGGTCAGCTCCGACCAGGTGGGCTTCTCGGTGCACCAGACGGCCGACCAGCACTCGGACGCGTACGACGGAGCCGGCTTCAACAGCGGCGACAAGACGCCGCAAGGTGTGTGTCTGGGAGCGGTACGCTGAGAGATGGGCCGAGCCTGGGAGCGGCACGCTGAGAGATGGGCCGTGTCTGGGAGCGGCACGCTGAGAGATGGGCCGAGTCAGCTGACGCACTGCCGGGGATGGCGGCTAATCTGCTGACAACCGACGATGAAAGGGGCAGTACCTGCGTCGTCTCAGTCTGTCGTTCGTCCTGATCGTGGGCATTTCATAACTATTGATGTACGTGAATGAAAGCAAGGTCCCTGCGAAGGACTGACAAAGGGTGCGATAACCGTCAAAGCGTCGGACGTTTGCCGCAGGATCATTCACCACCATGCTGGAGGACATCGGCACCGTCTTCTACTCTGGCGAGTCGGTCGGAACCAACGCAGTGCGCATGCGCGGGGTCATCCACGTGGTGGCGCCGCCGGCTGGCAGCGGTGTCCTGTCCGTCCGGGTGGGCTCCGTTGAGGCGGAGTCGACACCAACCGACGGGGATAGTACGTACACTGCTGGTGTAAGCTAGCATGTTGGTATGGATCATGTCACTCGCGTCGTGGTCGGCCAGTGTCGCCCAGTGTGCATTAGCTTGGTGCGGCTTACTAAGCAGGCCTTGCTGGAGCATGAATTGAACAAAGCTGATGGCATTACGTGTCAGTGCGATCCGTGTGATTGGTATACGTGCTCATAATGCGTGCTCATAACTGCTTGGTATTGTCGTTCAAATGGCACCTCCAGGTGTAATGAAGCTCTTTTGATTTCAACAGATGTTTGTACACGGAGGGGCAGCTAAGGGGAAGGAGGTCCCGGGGTCCCAGGAACTTCTCCTTTTACTCAGGGGCCCTGTATAGGCCTTTGCGCTCGGAAACGGGATACAAGTATGCCAACAGGATTGAGATCCCTCCCCTCGCTTTAAGAAATTCTGAATGCTTACACATGTTTTGCGTACCAATCACGGAAGGCACTGTATGGTGGCCGTGATTATGAAAGCTGTGATTTCGGCCAATAACCTTGCCTTTGCTGGTAAAGTCCACTTCCTCTGTGCTCACTGTGCGTGGGACCAACAGTGTACAATAAACGTAGCCGCCACCTTTCGAAGTTCGGAATGCCTAACGGCGAGATATTTCCAGTTCTCCTCAGAACACGGCCCAGTGCTATGGTTAGCTTATGTTGAGTGTCTCAGAGCGTGCGTGCATCACCGCGTCGGCCGTGTCGGTAGCGCCGGCGTTCGTCCCCTCCGAGGTGTGCTCCGAGGACCCGGCGCCGGCCGCCTGCCCGGCGTCGCCGGCGCCTCTTGTGCTCACGGCGGCAGACTGCGTCACCGCCCGGGTCACCGGGGTCAGCGTCGCCTCTGGCGACGACAGGTCAGCTCACCCAACCCGCCCAAGCGGTGGGCCGCGCTGTCTCACTGTCTGGGGGGGGGGGCTTATGTCGAGCTGGGCACTCCATTGGTCACCGCCATCTTGCGTTTGCGAGTGGCACATTCAAGCTTGCCTTCAGCCGTGTTCATTCTTATCTGGATTTGAAGTAAGTTAACCTAGGCGTACGTGCATATGTGAGGAAGTAACAAACTGATCTCCTAGCCACGATATGACTTGCTACTTCAGGGAGGTCAGGCCATTAAGCAAGTCGGTAGAGCTTTTGATGGATCGCATAAACCCATGATGTGGATAGATTAGTTGGTCTGGAATGTATTGAATCACGTTTGAAAATATTGATGTTGGGGTTAAATTGCATTAGCAAATCGAAGAGGGTAGATTGCTTGGAATGTTTACAGAGTCCATTGTCAATAAGCCATGCAGAAGTGAATGTGACGATATTTGCTACTTTTCATACATAAATCTGAAATTGGCCCGGATTGTGAGGCACTGATCGGAATTGTTCTTGTGTTGCGTGCTACCGTGCTGGATTGAAGGCAGTTGTGAGAAATGCGAGCGGACGCCTTGCCCGATTTGATTCAGAACTGGCTAGCGGGGTTGAAATCGATCCTGGAAAGTTTAGTTCCGACGAGTCCGACTGCGTGGGGCGTCGGCTTACAGCGGTAGATCCTCCGTCTTCAGTGCTGGACACATGGTGGAAGCCGGCTCCGAGCTAACCATCTCTGGAGCCGGCTTCTCCGAGACCGCCTGCCACAACCGGGTCACGCTGGGCTCCGGCGCCTGCCAGGTCACCTCGGCGTCGGCCAGTCAGCTGACGTGCCGTGTGACGTCAGACGGCCTGCAGCATGGCCAGCCGCAGCCCCTGGCGGTGCGCGTGGCCAACAGGTGAGCCCCCGGTGCGGCGAGGGGGAGGGGAGCTGTCGCGCCGCGGCGGAGGCGGCCGGCGGCTGATGAGCGGGCGTCGCCGGCGAAGAAGGGCGCCCCCGCCGTGCAGGGCGCTATTGGCGCGCTGCCGTCAGCTGTTTCTGGTTGGCGCTTTCACACCTGGCAATCTTTGACGTCGGCCGATCAGAGCGATTCCGCGTGCGTGGCGTCTAATGGGCGCACACACATGCGTGAAATGCTATCATCCGCCGCCGGCGAGAGGGCGTTCAGCAATCCGTGAAACAGTCGGAGAGGCGGGTACTTATTACCCTCATTGCGCCATGATTCCCCGCCGCTCGTATTACCGGTGAATCCCAATTGGGGAACTAATTAGATGGATTTCATTCTCGGTATTTGCCAGGTGCCTTCTTATTACCGTGACTGACGTTGGCTCCAGGTGATGTTGCCCCGTCATCGTCGTGTGGGACACCACCCGTTGTAGGCAGAACACAGTTGTTGTATGTTGCAGTTCTTTTACAGCAAGCTAGGTAGCTGCGGCTGCTGGTCCACTGCGTGCTTTGCACTGAGCGTGGACATCATGTTCGGCGTGGCATCATCGAGCGTTTTAAGTCTCTCTCATCGCAGTCGTCATATAGCCTCGGCAGTTGAGTGTGTCGTAAAGTCCCAATGACAGTCTTCCTTATCAACATCAGGGTGTTCCGTAGTTCGGTAGCATTTTGCACCCACGTTTTTCTTTGGGAGCAAAACACTTGACGACGCTTAACCGTATTTTCATGCGATGAATCGCCATTTAATTACACGCGGCAGGGTCGAATAGCCTCCACTTGAGGTCTTGAGATCTACGCGACCAGTTCGATGCTGTATGTCTAAAATTCACCACCGGAACATGACTTCTGTTGTATTGCAATGTTTCAAAAAATCACTGGCTTATTTAGGAGCGTTCAAAACGGGGCGAAAAGCGTTGTGTAATACCGCATGTCAAGTGGAACTCAAGGACACGTTACGTGAAAACCGATTCAGATGCCCATATAAAGAAGCATACGACACACACAAGTCTCTTTTTCACACAATTTAAAGGAGTTTAATCTTAAAGCACTGGACCGCGTCATAACTTACAAACCTGAACTCTGGAACGCAGCATGAAGATGGCTGATGCCGACCAGCGAGTCGCACCTGACGCCACCGTGCTGACGCAGAGCAGGGGAGTTGCCGGCGCCCGACGCGGTGCTGCCGTCTGACTTCGCCGCCTCGCCGCTACAGGGGCGCGGCAGTGATCGACGTGGCCGCCGGTCTGAAGTACTTCAGCTCCGAGCCGGTGGTGTCCGGCCTCTCGCCGACCAGCGGCTCCCCGAACGGCGGCACGCTGCTCACGCTGACCGGTGAGAGTCCTGGGTGCCCGGTGAAAGTACTGAGTGCTGGGTGAGAGTCCTGGGTACCGAATGAGAGTCCTGAGTGCCAGGTGAGTGCCTTGGGTGCTGGGTGGGAGCTTTGGACCCAGGCACCACATCTGGTCTCTGGTCTACCCCTGCTGGTGATAAGGCAAGTTGTACGTGGCGATACCACCGACTTGGAAGGAGACGTCTTCTCACTGTTGGCGAGGACGACAGCGCGGCAGCCTCAGGCTGTTAGTGAGAACGACAGCCGACTCGGAGGGAGGCATCCTCTCGCTGTTAGTGAGGACGACAGCGCGGCAGCCTCAGGCTGTTAGCGAGAACGACGGCTAGCGAACTTCCGGCTGGTAGCGGGAGTGACTGCGCAGCAGCTTAGTCGAACGGAACTTGCTGTGGGCGTTTGATGAGAAGAAACGTCGTCAGCGTGTGTGGGAAACAAATTATAAGAAGGCACGCAATTCGTTACAAACTCGTTTTATTTATCAATAGTTATTATGACCAACTGCTATAATGTCGACCTGCACGACCTTTTCAGTCGGCCCTTCCGGTGCGACGCCATTATTTATCGTTAATAATATCCTCTCTCACCGCCCTTCATGCGGTATGGCCGGAATGGACGGGATGGCCTGCTCAGGACCCTGCCACGCCGGCCGACAGCACTCCGCCGCTGTACCGTCACCGCCTGCGGCGGTCTCACCGCGTCTCACCGCCGTCTCGGTCCGGTCTGTCCCAGGCTCCAGCCTGCTGCCGGCGTCAACAGATGGCAGCACAGCTGTCCTGGTTGGAGGTCAGGCGTGCCAGGTGCAGACGAACACCCTGTCCACGCTCACCTGCTTGACCCCGGCTTCGGCGGCCGGCCAGGCAGGCCCGATGCCTGTCAAGCTCGTCTGGGATGAGGATGGCGTGGTCAGGTCAGTGAGCTCGCCTTCGCGGTCGTCCGTGGGTAGGCGAGTCGAGGTTTTGCATGGCGACATGGATTTAGTCGTACCATTATGAGCCCTGCTATTTCTAGCGTGTTGAACCAAAGCTCAGACAGCGGAAGCAGGGCGAGCTGGGGTAAAGCTGGCGGTCGGCTCGTTAACGTTTGTTTTCATCGTATGAGACAATTTGAAAACTGTCGGCTTAGGGTTTTGTGAAATTATTTCGGAGTCAGAAATTTTACTGTTACTTGATATTTAAACTTCGGATTACCGAATACTGACCCAACGGCATGGCTGATACTGAAATGCAAACAAAAAGACAGGCAAAACTGCCATCGATAGCTTTCCAGGGAACAAAACATTTGTGGTGTCAACTACAGGATTTACTCCGCTGTTGCTACCATGATGCTGCTTGCCAGCCTGCAAGTTCCGCATAGCCTTTTAACCAAAATGCTTTATGCCAGGACACTGGGGAATATGACCTTCACCTACGACATCAGCAAGTCTCCAACACTGACTTCGGCCCAGGTGGCGACGAACGCGCAGAGGACGCTGACCATCTCAGGGACGAACCTGGGCAGCAACGCCTCCGACATCGTCATCCGGCTGACACCGGTCTCGAGCGCCGCCCGTCGGCGTCGGCACGTCGACCCGCCGCGCGACACCGAAGTCATCGACCCCGACGACGTCACCGAGGCAGAGTCGCCTGCCGAGGGCGGCGCGCAAGAGGACGCGGCCTTCTGGAGTCGCTTCTGCGACGGCCGCTGCGCCAACTTCGACGAGTTCGTCAGCAGCGGCCAGCTGCGCGCCGCCGGCTCGGGGCTGGAGCCGACCCGCGCCGCGACCGTGGCGCCGCCCGGCGGCACCCCAGCCGAGCTGGACTACCTGGAGCTGACGCCAGAGTACGTCAGCGCCTTCCACGAGGCCGTGCTGGGCCGGCGGCGCTCGCGGAGGCGCGTGCACCTGCGCCGCCGCCGGAGCGCCGCCGCCGACCCGACTGAACTGACCTGCACGCCGATAGAGATCAGCGACACCAGCGTCACCTGTCAGCTGGACGCGGAGGCGGCCGGCGAGTACGCCGTGGCGCTGCAGGTGTCGCAGCTCGGCCTGGCCGGCGACACGGCGACGGTGACCGTGGCGCCCACGCTGGAGACGGCCAGCCTGCCGGCTGGCTCCGTGCACGGCGGCGCCGCGCTGCAGCTGGCTGGCGCCGGCTTCGGGCCCGACGCGTCCGTCACGGTCGGCGGCGAGGAATGTGAGCTGACGGCGCGCTCGGCCTCGGCGCTGACCTGTCTGACGCCTGCGGGCGAGGGTGTCCAGCCGGTGGTGGTCACGAGCGGCGGCCAGACCGTGACCGGACCCGACTACACGTACTCGGCGGAGAGCACGCCCGTGCTGACGTCCGTTGTCAGGTGGGGAGTCCCGCCAGGGCCCGCCCGAGTCTGCCTTACCCTACCCGAGCCCGCCCGAGTCTGCCTGACCCTACCCGAGCCCGCCCGAGTCTGCCTGACCCTACCCGAGGCCGCCCGAGCCTGTCTGACCCTACCCGAGGCCGCCCGAGCCTGTCTGACCCTACCCGATCCCGCCCGAGTCTGCCTAACCCTACGCGAGCCCGTCCGAGTCTGCCTGACCTTACCCGAGGTCGCCCGAGTCTGTTCGGTCCGAGCCATACGGCCACCCGAGGCCGGTTCTTCTCTCCGATCGGTCTGCTCACAAGGCGGCTAATCTGATAAAGGACAACGTCGCACCAAGTCATTCTCAGACCTTTACTGGACCATAACGGGTAGAGATAATATTCTCCGTTTATGACGGTGGCTTTTGCCATGCGCATTGCTCGCAGTCTACCGATCTTGTTTGGTCAACTGCTGCGGCAGACGTTGCTCCATGCATCCATTACCTCAAAAAATCAGCTGTACGCAATGCAGCGAACTGCGTGGTTGTGTTTACATTAGCGCGTAGTAATCCCGTATTTGGACCGTTGGCAGCCGTGTTGGATGTTCGTGAGCTCATACCTGGAACTATCATCGTCCAATACGTGGCGTTGGTTCGCGTGCAATGGTATAGAAGCGTGGTGCACGTGAACGCCATGGCTCGATAGAATGTATGTCAATGGATCGACTTCAAATGTCTCCGCCCATGTCAACTGCACGCCGGCCGCGCTCCCTCATCAAACCTGTTCGTTACCATAAATCATCATCACTCGTGACGACACCTCTCATACGACTCTGACGCCGCGACCCCTCAGTTTGGATAACGGCGAGGTGACGCTGGTCATGTCTGCCGGCACTGGGCTGGGCACCTCCGGCAGCAGCTACCTCATGGTGGGCGGCAGGCTCTGCAACGTCAACAAACAAAGCGACACCCAGGTCACGTGCCAGGTGAGGGGGTGAAGCGAGGCGGTGACTGCGGCGGCTGCGGCAAACGAATGTTCGGCGAATGGGCGAGCTCGGGCTCGTGTGTGTGTGTGTGTGTGTGTGTGTGTGTGTGTGTGTGTGTGTGTGTGTGTGTGTGTGTGTGTGTGTGTGTGTGTGTGTGTGTGTGTGTGTGTGCGTGTGTGTGTGTGTGTGTGTGCGTGTGTGTGTGTGTGTGTGTGTGTGTGTGTGTGAGAGAGAGAGAGAGAGAGAGAGAGAGAGAGAGGAGAGAGAGAGAGAGAGAGAGAGAGAGAGAGAGAGAGAGAGTGCTGTGTGTTGCGGTCTTATGTTGATCGGCACAATCGGGCAGGGGGGACTGTTGCGAGATTTTCAACTGGATCAGAAATCAGGTTAATGCCTTTGCATCATCAGGTGGTCAGAAAGTGAAACAGCCTTTTCATAAAACGGTCTCGAAATGCAAACAAAAATTGGTGGCATTTGACCAAGACGGCTTGTTACGAATCGTACATTCCTTATAGCGGCTTGGTGAGTCGGCCTCATTCGCATGGTCTTCGCGCACCCTCCCAGCACGAATGGCCATAGGTATGTGCCAAACATCCCTGCTGCCCCGTCCATTCGGTGCGCGGTACTAACGTGTCGCTGTTCGGCGGCAGCTGGACACGGTTCTGCCCGGCGGACAACACCCAGTGACCTTCTACTCGCCGGAGGGCACCGGCAACTCGGCGCCCTTTGACCTCACAGTGGAGCTGGCCTTGGCCTCCGTCTCACCGGCTACCGGTAAGACGAGAGGCTGCGCCCATTCCGAACGGAGAGAAACGGTTGAAGCTGTTGCGGAGCAGAGTCGTGCCGAATGAACCACGCTGCCGCTCTTTTCTCCGACACACATCGCTTCGCCGTGGTCATTCGTGCACCGGACGCTGAGCAGCCGTTCTGTGGCCGTTCCAGCGGGTATCAGCGGAACGACGCTGACCCTCGCCGGCGGCAAGTTTGACACGGTGGACCCGGTCACAGTGACGGTGTGTGACCAGGCCTGCCAGGTCACCACCGTCACCAGCACGGAGATCACGTGTCTCGCGCCTGCTGTTCAAGGTTGGTGCTGGTTGTTTCAGTGTACTGAGTTTGGTGCAAACCTTGAGCGTTTGCGGGGAAGTCACACGAAAAAGATCTGCGCGAAATGCTCATCACTTCGTGCATATCTGCGGCGGCGTTTATACCATGGTTGAGCTGTTTTCTTCCTCGATGCAAATGCCGCGAAAAAATCGACATGTTCGAATTATCGGAAGCACTATTTAATACTGGTGTGCTGCATGCTTTATGTTGCTACTATTTATTTTTGTCATCATTTTTTGTTCTAAATTGCATTTAAATGCTGACATGTCATGTACGAGGCAGGCTGCACCGAGCACTCTTCTTCCTGTGCAGTAAGTGCTCACCTACCGTGTAAGTGTGGCCGTCTGCTGGTTTCGCGACATTTCGGGGCTTCGTGCTAGAAAAATAGCCGACCCTGAGTGTGCTAAAAAATGGTAAAAGGATGGCGACAAACAGCCGCTGGAATCCATGTTGTGATATATATGTGTATATATATATATATATATATATATATATATATATATATATATATATATATATGTCTGTGTGTGTGTGTGTGTGTGTGTGTGTGTGTGTGTGTGTGTGTGTGTGTTATGCTACGCATCACGTATTTTGAAAATATGTAAGCACTTGACTTTTTCCTTACTGGTGCCTTCCTTGCATATGGAATATCGGCGTTCTTAACTCAATAACTAACTAAGCTATAACGGAAAGTATCATATTACGTGTCCATCGAATATGCGGCCTCATCGATACTTGAGACCAATACCAATGAAAATCATGATCTCTTGTGGATCGAGGTCACGCATATACTCATCAGGCTATTCTGGCTGTACCGCTGACGTCACACCCGTGCCGCAGCGGCCCCGGCGGCGGCCTGTGACGTCACTGTGACGCTGTCTGGCGGCCAATCGGCGGTGGCGGAGGCCGCTCTGACGTACGACGGCGCACTGACGGCGTCATTGACCAGCGTCACGCCCAGCCGGGGCGGCACGGCCGGCGGCACCAGCATCACCGTCACAGGCACCGGCCTGGCGTGAGTGGTCACGGGCGGGGTCGGTGACACTCGCACAGAGGCTGGCACCGACCGGCCAACGCTCGCTACAGGCCGCCGGTGTTGGCTAGAAAACGCGGGCAGTTGGAGAATAGATGCATGGTTGCGTGACGTTACATGTAAGTGTGTTCCGCTAGCAGAAGCACTTATCGGTTAGGCGCCACCAGCCGGGTAGGGCATACAATTTCAATGTTGTTTTCTGACAGCTTTCTCTGGCGTTCTATCTCAGCTCTAGTATCGAAGTGGTTGGCATTAGCCCACCAACGATATCGGGGTTGTGGAGTGAGTGCTGGTGTCGTTTCAGAGTATAGTCGCTTCTTTCTGTCTATGGAATGTACAGTGCGGCTCCTCCACTGCGCATTAACTGCTGCTGCCTGTCAAAAAAGGCATGAGATGACCTTTGTCAATTACATTGCTTCGGTTCCCCACAACAAACCCAACTGCTCACCAGCCGTAACGCGCCGCGCGCGCCCGCCGCGCGCTCGGACGAGCTCGCGCCGACCGCCGCTCTCCTGCCGGCAGCGCCTCCGGCAACCTGGTGACGATCGACGGCGTCCCGTGCGCGGTGACCAGCGAGAGCGCCACGCAGGTGGTCTGCGTCACCGACGCTCACAGCGGGCCCGGGAGGTTCGCCGTCGCCGTTGACGTGCCTGGCGTCGGCTTCGCCGCGGTCAGTCGGAAGCGGGCGCCCGGTCACCCGGCGCGCTCCGTGCGCGGCCATCTCGCGGCCGCCGACCCGTGCCGTGCTGAGAGCTGGCGTGGCGTGGGCGGTGGCGTGGGCAAGAGATGGTGTTTTTGTGATAGGTCGGGGGTGTGCGAGTTATAATTCAAGGCATTATGCGATGGAGGCTGCGTCTCAGTGTCGTCTTGTTTTTGGGGATGACTGCGCTCTGCTTCAGCATGTGAACGCCGGTCCCCTCTGGCTCGGTGATGTAAGGAGCATACTTAACTTCATCGTAGCGTATTGAAGCCCGGTGGAGACCGTCCTCCAGCACATGCAATGCTGCCCCCCCCCCCCCCCCCCAGTGGTCGGGTGTTGACGTCACGGTGACGTGTGTCGCAGGCCGGCGAGGAGGCCGTGTTCCAGTACGTGGACCGCTGGTCGTCGCCGTTCACCTGGGGCGGCAGTGACCCGCCGTCCGACGGCCAGTCGGTCAGCATCACGGCCGGCCAGACCATCCTGCTCGACACCAGCACGCCCGTGCTCAAGCTGATCCTGATCGACGGTGAGTCCCCCTCCCCCTTGACGTTGAGTCCCCACCCTCTTTCAGCCCCCCCCCCCCCCCCCCCATTCGGCCTGCAGTCCGGTCCTGCCTGCTCCGGGTCGCCGATCATCTGTTCTAAAGAGTGATGCATCGCGACGACAGATGGCGACTCCCGCGGCGCTCGCCGTGTCCTCGGCTGAGGATGCCGACCGAGGCTGCCCCAGACAGCCCAGCCCGGTCCGAGAGCGCTCGCCTCGTCCTCGGCTGAGAGTACTGACCGAGGCTGCCCCAGACAGCCCAGCCCGGTCCGAGAGCGTTCGCCATGTTCTCGGCTGAGAGTACTGACCGAGGCTGCCCCAGACAGCCCAGCCCGGTCCGAGAGCGTTCGCCATGTCCTCGGCTGAGGGTACTGACCGAGGCTGCCCCAGACAGCCCAGCCCGGTCCGAGAGCGTTCGCCACGTCCTCGGCTGAGAGTACTGACCGAGGCTGCCCCAGACAACTCCAGCCCGGTCCGAGAGCGCTCGCCACGTCCTCGGCTGAGAGTACTGACCGAGGCTGCCCCAGACAGCCCAGCCCGGTCTGAGAGCGCTCGCCATGTCCTCGACTGAGGGTCCTGACCGAGGCTGCCCTAGACAACTCCAACCCGGCCCGAGAGCGCTCGCTGTGTCCTCGGCTGAGGGTCCTGACCGAGGCTGTCCTAGACAGCTTCAGCTCCGTCTAAGAATTCTGCTGTTCCAGTGGCTTGTTGTCGTCCACAATCGAAGCTACGTCTGTGGGTGTGTTTGTTAGTTATCCTGACAGGTCCAGGGCGATTCCCACGTCATTTCGGGAAATGTGTCTGCTGAGGTGTCTGGGAGGCCATGCCGGACCCCGTGCCGCCGGGCCGTACGACCTCAGTGACCGGATGACTGAGCCGCGCGAGCGTCGCCAGGCGGGGAGCTCATCTTCGACCCGGAGGCGGCATTCCTTGAGCTGCACGCCGAGTACATCGTGGTGCTGGGCGGCGGCCGGGTGCAGATCGGCACCGAGCAGGCGCCGCACGCCGGCCAGGCCGCCATCACGCTGCACGGCAACGTGCGCGCCACCGAGCTGCCCGTCTACGGTGCCAAGGCAAGCGTCGCTGACTGGCCTAGCACTGGTGGCTATAGGCACAGCCTGGAACGTTCAATTTTATTGACAGCACCACTGCGAGCCTGACAAAGTTGTTTGACTGGTGCCTCCCGGCAAACTGAATGTCGGCTATCGTCAAAATGATAATTTGCAAGTCATGTCGCCTACCAAAAAGCTTCGTGGTATGTGTGCGGTTAATTTTCTCCATTGCATAGACAGACAATCGGTGTGCTCCATGGAAACGTTTATAGGGCTTGAAGCCCACTTCCGCCCTCCCCCCCCCCCTCGTGATGGTGGAATTGTATCATTTCCGAATGCATGGTAAATAATGATAACGCTTTGCACTTTGCAGTTGCATACATTTGTGAATATGTATGAATGACGGGGATGACGATGACGATGACGATTATGGTGGTGATAGTGATGATTGGGGCGATGAAAAGGGTGTTGCGGGCGCTCTGGTTGTGCTGAGTTTCGCTATCCGGCCGCCAGGTGCTGGCCGTGCGGAACGGCACGTTGGACCTCCACGGTCTGCCCGTGGCCGTTCCCTGGACGTACCTGGCGAGCACGGCGGCGGCGGGCGCCAGCAGCCTGACCCTGGACCGCGCCGTCAGCTGGCAGGTCGGCGATGAGATCGTGATCGCCTCCACCGGCGGCAAGTGAGTCGGCCCGCTCGGGGCGGCGCCAGGGCGAAGGGATTGGGAACCACTGGTGTAAAGAGCAAGCGTCAGTTTGACCGGAGAGATTTGGCTGGAGGAGATATTGACTGTCATAAGCTCTTGGAAGCTTGGGTGATATATTGACGTAGCGCCAAATGGAAGGGATTAAGGTTGTCCACTTCTGGGCTGGAGGGGCTTTGCTGGCGAGGGCTGCTAGTGACCTGTCACGGAAGGGGGGGGGGGGCAGGGCGGGATCACGTGTTTGTCGGTGACCTTGTCTATGGGACGGAAATAGTGCGGGACTGGGGTGAGGGCCCCAGGCTGAAGTCGTAGCGACCCCTCCAGGACGGCTGATGCGTCTAGAGGGAGCGAGAGTCCACTGTGCGCAGCTGTGTCTGAGCGCCGCGCGTGAATCGGCCCGGTGATCCGCGCCGCAGGCACTCGATGAACGAGTCGGAGAAGCACGTGATCTCGGCCGTGTCGGAGGACGGCCTGACTTTGACTTTGGAGAGCCCGCTGGCGTTCGAGCACATCAGCTCGGAGCAGACGTTCGCCGGCCAGACAGTGCGCATGCGCGCAGAGGTGGGCCTGCTGACCCGCAATGTCAAGGTGCGCGGTTCCATCAACCAGGAGTTCACCGAGGAAGTGAAGGCCTGTGCGGCCGGCTTTAACCCAGGTGAGGATGGGGTCAATGATGGAGAGCTGTGTGAAATAGCGAGTCTCGCGGCTGCACAGGCACTGGCCGTTGTAGTGTTTGGTGTCATGACGTGACAGCGTTTGTTGGCATGAGGCCGTAGTGATGATGTGCAGTCTTGATGTTAACGACTTGGATCGAAATCGGACATCGGCGGTAACAGTTGCGCAGCGTCGGGGTCAGTGTAAGCCACGCTCAATCCCGGAAGAAATGAGTCAATATCTTCTTTGAATGTTGTCTGCAGGCTGGACTTGCATGATTCACAACATGCCGTTATACACCGAGCTGTCCTGTCCTGCCTTACTCTGTCCTTCTCCATCGTGTTCTTTTCAGTATGCCTTGTCTTTATCTTTGCTCCTCTACCTTGTTCTTTGCTGTCCTCACATACCAGCATCGCCGTTCTTCCCTGGTCTGACCAAACAGGTGCAAGCCTGACCTGATCCGACCAGGGCTGACGAAGCCTAGACAAACCTGAACAACCCTGATCTGACCTGACCTGATCCAATCTAATATGATATGTCCTGACCTGATTTAACCTCACATCTTACCTCGCCTGGCCTTATCCGACGTAAACTGACATGGTCTGACCTGAGCTAACCTCACTTGACCTTAGCTGACCTCACCTGGCCTAATCTGGTCTAAGATGACCTGAACTGACCTGATCTGACCTCTCCTGAGCTGACTTGACCTGACGTGACCTCACCCGACCCTCAGGTCAGTTTGACACGCAGACCTGCTTCCGCGGCCGGTACGGCGCCGAGACGTCGACGGACCAGTTCGGCGCCACCATCATGATCCACGCCAAGTACCAGAACGAGCACCTGGTCACCGGCAGGCTGGAGTATGTGGAGGTCACCGAGGCGGGACAGGTCGGTCAGAGGTCAGGCGTGCCGACGGCTCAGCCGCATAGGTAGATGTTGTCAGTTTACGACTGGGTGGAGGGAAGAGATAACCCAATGCAGTGTTGGCAGCTGTCATCAGCACGGCAGAAGCTTTCGTTTCACTGGCGTATTGTTTTCAGTAATGTGGTGGGGAACTTGACCCTGCCTGTGTGAGCGCGCATGTCTCGCTGGTTCGCTCATGCTTCGGGTGAAAACATTGGGTGCTTTGGTAGCGTACATTTTGCTGATCACATCAGAGGCATCAACATTTGTGACATTTCTCGTTTATCTACCGATTCATTCAAAAACGGCAACTGGCAGCCAATTATTCACGAATTTAACGAAGGCTTCGAGCCCATGAACAGGGCCAATCTATCGCCAGATTTATGCGTAATCCCTCGTATGTCTACTGGCCACAGTTAGAGTGCATTTCTTTGTCGGATTGCAAAATTATGCAACACGCATTTGCTGTCCAAGAACCGCCAACATGCATCTTCGGTAAAGCTTAACACGCGCCCGGATGGTCGGTTGAATGCCCTTCGCTCAGGTGGGGATCAATTTGACCGCCCCCCCCCCCAATATTTTTAAGATCTAGGACATCTGGAGACGAGAAATTTGCGCAGTGGATTGGCCTGTATGTGAACTTACTTGTGTCAGCATTTGAGATTCCCAGGTCTTGATCTTGTGGTTGAATAAGGTCAAACAAGGTCAAACTCCAGAGTAGTGGGCAGTGTCCCTAGACCTCTTTTTGCAACAGCCGTGAACTTAGATACCTGTTCAAAGCAAAAAGTCAGCAGTATTCATTTAAGGTCAGTGACCTCATATGACCTTGGAAACGTCCATAAACATGTTTGTTGCGGTCCCTTCCATTAATAAATTCTAAATGACCACCAGAAACTATCTCATAAAGCAAGCTCTCGAGTAAAAAAGCAGGTTGGTCTTGACCTCGGTCTGTTCCTATCTGACCCTAACTCAATCGAGTTTGTTGTTATTACACGTTCAATTTGTTTATTTCCCAACGAACTATCTCAGAGATGTATGGTTTCGTCTAACGCTCCGTTGGCACCCAGACCGAACGATGTTCTCCAAGTGGCCTTCGCCGACAGCCACGGCCTGACTTTGGCCCATCATAGGACATTGATCTTGCAGGGCGCATTCAATTATTTGATGTCAAATATAAACTGTTCAATTTCCTATAGCTATGCAAAGTTTAGCGCGAGCACACAGAACCGTTCGGAAATCATTCAGGAAAA